TTTAAGTCTTTCTAACATTGATTAATTTAGCGGTTTTAGACGATGCTGATTAAGCTTCTAATTGGAACCATATGCTCATTTTCACTAAATAAAAAGTTAACCAACAAATTTTAATTAAATATTTGACTTATCGTGTCAATTAACACCCTATAGCATGTCTTCCTGGCCATGTAACTCACCTGCACAAACTGCATTATTCTACCTTTCACTGCTTTCCTTTTTAATAAATCAGTTATAATTAAAATTAAACACCCTACATGGTACTTCATTCCAGCTTGTTAGGACTGCAGTGATAAAAGTGGCATTTGACCTTTTGGAGCAGTTTCTGTAGCAGGCAGAATATTGGTTTGGAGCAGCCACTGGCGCTTTTGGGGCAGATGTATTGCTAAACAAGCTTTTCTTCGATAATGACTGAGGGTTCCTCTTTGATACCGGAGAATATTACTTATTACCTATTGTAATAAGAGTAAAAGGGTGCAAAAGGAACACAGAACCTTATTTTTAGAAACAAGGCTCTGGTCAGAGTAGGTTCCATTTACAATAGGTATTAAAAATGGTCGAAAAACGAATCAAAGCGCAACACTTTAATTGAGATAAAGCCTCACTCCCCTCCCCCTTTTACACTCCCTAGTCTATTTATCCCGTAACTATAATTTCTGTAAAATGCCAGCCAAAACCAGCATATCCGCTGATATGTCTACAAATAAAAATGCTGTACGAACCCACCTCGAGACTTTAATACTATAAACTGCAAAAACGACCACCCACAAATATTATGAAAGCCTATACTTGTACTTTGAATGTGACACTGCCCTTTAGCAGCGTTGGAACCAAAGTTGAGTCAAAGTTGACCAGTCTTTAGATCGACAGCTGCACGGGAACTATTTTGACTATTCTGTCTCTTTAAATATAGGCCCGCGTTCTGGTCTCTCTTTCTCGGCACAGCTTTTTAAAATTAGATGTCATTGTACAATTAAGACCAAAAAAGTACTGAGCATAATTTACGAGTCAATCACGCTAACCCAGGCGCTCCCCCATGTCAGTTGCTGCTCCTAGCACTCCGGTGCAAAGCGGTGAAGCTAGACGCGCGCTCTGGTGTGAGGCAATGAAGGTCAATGCGAGCAGCTCAAGTGCCACGGTACTCTATAGCCACGGCACGGAGGCATGTGGCAGACATAATAACCACGTGATTTCATAAGGAGTAGAAGACCCTAGTTCTGTCTTACCGCAGAGTCCGCAATTCTACTATTTTGCAAAGTTGTCTCGCAACTTTTAGCTCCCGACAGTGGTGATCGACCAAGCAGTGCACCAACCGGCCAGCACGGTCAACGAGAAATTTTCATTTCACTTTAAGTTAAAGCACAGACGATGCTACAAGCCAGTGGGACCAATCAAACAGCATTAAGGTGCAACATCGCAGCATTTGTCATCTTCCCAGACGTGTTCCTTCATCAACAAGACCAATTAAGTGCAGCAAAATGTCCCGTGACTTGTGCTTTTAGTGTGTGTTTGTGGTAGCATGCACTTAAGCCTTCAGCTAAGTTCTGACCTAAGGATGAGACAAACTATACTGTGAATAGAGACGCTCTGAAGAACATATTTGGATAATTTTTCTTTCGTCCTATTCCTCTGAATACAAGGGTAAACCAATAAATCAATATTTTTCTTTCTTTCTTCATTAAAGCCCACTAAAGCCAAACACAGGCGTGGCACAGTACTTAGCAAAAGTTACATTGTGGCTCAAGACATAGCTGACTTTCGTTCGTGGCACAATTTGGCGCAAATGGCAGAGCACTCCCATCACTGGAACTGACCCTTCATAATGGTGTGATCCATACGATGACGAAAAGAGGAAAAAAATCGAGGAATATTAAGAAAGAGAAAGAGAAAAGAAAGAAAAAAGAGGAGGGAAAACGACGAGGTTCGGAGCGGAGAGCGGACGGATTCGGAACCGCTTGGCTCCGAAACACACCGGTGAAGCTGTCATCCACAGAAATTTGCCGACCTGTCCCCACCATCAACACTGAACGGGAAGTCTGGCTCAGGAACGCACCGGCGAAACCATAACAGCAACTGGTCGACTGGTCACCATCTGTACGCTGGCAGTTGGAGTCAAACGAGACTGGCTTCTGCAACTGGGCGAGCGCCTAACACCGGCGTAGACCAGTGCCAACCTCAGCAAGTCGAACTGTGGACGTATGCTCTTTTATTTTATTTCTTTGCAATAAGTTTACTTTTTTTTTTCTTCATCTGGATTCGAAAAAAATAAAAAATTAGTCACAAATATATTTTTTAGATATCAAAAATCAGGTGGACCTCTCAGCTTCCTTTCTTTGTTACCATAAAGATCCTGACAATAGCTGGCGTCCGCAAAAGGACGCTGATGATCATCCGTTTGGTTTTTGGTGCAACATATAAGTTATGGATTTAAAGGAGTTGACGGCCCTGGGTGAAAAACTGGGGACCACAGGAACAAAATTGCGGACATGGGTTGATCAGGAACGAGCTCGGCTAAGAGAGGACAGAGTGGCAGAATGAGAAGCTCTCCAACAGAAAGCGAAACTGGAGGAAAGAATGAAGAGAACACTCCAACTTAAGCTTAGGGTAATTGAGGCCGAGGGGACTGCAAGTGACAGGCATGGTGGGGGCGGCGGTCAAGGACCCCGAGGAACTCCTGCGTCACAGTACCTCAGTCCTCGTAAACTAATGCCTTCGTTTGACAACAAAAGAGGTGACTTGGACGCATACTTGAAAAGATTCGAGGTTATAGCGATGGGACAGGAGTGGCCATGAGGAAAATGGGCCACTGCATTAAGCCAGTGCTTGGTGGCCGAGGCCCTGAAGGAATTCTGAAGGATGTCCCCGGACGACCCCTTAGATTATAAAAAAGTAAAGATGGCACTCCTATGAAGATTTCGCTTTACAACCGAAGGATACCGCGAAAGATTTCGAGAAAGCTCTCCAGATAACGGCAAGACAGGCAGCCAGTACACCACGAGGCAAGAGGGCCAAAACATACAGCGATCTGCAGGACCTTGTGATCGCCGAACAGTTCACCAAGGGCTGTCATTCAAAGCTGTCCGTGTTCCTCAAGAAGCGGAGTTGCAATACACTTCCTTTGATGGCCGTGGCAGCGGGTAAGTTCACGGAGGCACACGAGCAAGACAATTTGGCTCAGTTCAAGGAGGACCATAGCCAGAGTGATAATCATTTAATTAAGGAATGACCTGCCAAGCAGCAAGCAGGGAACAAAGATCAGACATTTCTTGTGCGGCAGAGTTGGTCACAGAGCAACCCATTGCTTGTCCAGACCAGAACAGCAACACCGAATATGTCAGATTTGTCAGAGATTGGCACACGATGCTAAAGCATGCTTTCAGCGGAAGGGCGACAAAACTCGGCTCTCGTGCTTTATGATATCTGAATCTGGAAGCGCAGAATGAGAGTTTGAAGAAAGCCGCATACATAACGACGAAATGCACAATGTGCAGCATAAAAACGAAGCACTCTAGAGTGTGGTGTGCAAAATAAAGGAGCAACAACTAAAGGGACGCATGCCAGCAAAACGTGGACTGGTACTAGACGGAACATGCAGGTTATTACCAGAAGCAATCGAGAAGCAATTGTAGCTTCTCCATACTTTACTGGAGAGGATGTCGCAAAATGTATGGATGAGCCACTTTACGACGTGGTTATTGGTAATGTTCAAGGAGCCAGGGATGTGTTAGACCTCAATCCAAATTGGAGAAGTGAGGATGAGACTGAAGCAGCAGATCTTACAACTTGACAAGAACATACTCGCCACATTGAAGAGCCATGTAACTGCTACTCCAAATCCCGAACCCAGCCTTGGGATTGAGGATGTTACGAGAGACGTCCTTGAAATGGAATAGTTGAAAGATGCATCATTAGATATCTGTCGCAGAACGACTGTTGACCCTCATGTAACAAAAGGGGGTAACACCTGCAGTTTTTATTTGAGTGAGGGAGCCTCAGTCATGGGATGAATATTTGGCTCCGGTGCTCTTCGCCTACTGCGAAGCACCACAGGCGAGTTTAGGTTTTTCTCCTTTTGAGTGGATTTATGGACGACACGTACAAGGCCATTGTCGGTGCTAAAAGAAATCTGGACTGAAGATACAATCAGCCAGGAGCTGAAGACGACATATGGCAGCATCTTAGAGCTACAGAGTCGGTTAGAGCAAACAATGGAATTAGCTCACCAGAAACTGGACGAAACAAGACAGTCAAAAGCTACATTATGACCGAAAAGCGAGAGGTTGACAAATGAAAGTAGGAAATAGAGCCCTCATCTTGCTGCCTACCAGCCACAACAAATTGCTTATGCAACAGAAAGGCCCTTTTCCAGTGGTCGAAAAGAAAAACGAGGTGGACTACAAGTTAAATTTAGGTTATACTCACAAGGTTTTTCATATCAACATGTTGGAGCGGGAACTTACAGAATCGCCTATTCTTAAAAGCGCAGACTTCTCGAAAGAGTTTGTCCTAAGAACCGATGCCTTTGAACACTGCTTGGGGGCACACCGCCCCCAAGCAGTGTATACATAATCTGCTTAGGGGCGCACCGCCCCCAAGCAGATTATGTAAGGACACGAGGGGATACTGCATGCCATAGCATATGCCAGTAAGCAGCTCCTTTCAAGAGAAAAGAACTTTTCTATGACGGAGAGAGTGCCTGGCTCTCATATAAGCAGTGGAAAAGTTTCATCTGTACTTATACGGTAGGCATTTTGTGGTGCAAACAGACCATCAGCCGCTACAATACTTAAAGCAAAGCAGCTCAACAGTCGTGTGCTCCGCTGAGGATTGTTATTGCAAAAATATTTTTTTGAATAGAACATATTGAGGACACTGAAAATGTAGGCTGATTACCTTGGTCGCTTACGATTTTTTGTACTTGGCGAAGGAACACATTATTACAAATTTAGAGGTTTTTTTTTTTTTTTTTTTTTTGGCTAAACGAAAAGAAAACTTAAAAGGGGGGTCATTGTAATGATGTGATCAATATGGCAATGAAAAGAGGAAGAAAATCGGGGGGATACTAAAAAAAAGAGAGAGAAGAAAAAGCAGGAGGAGGGAAAACAAAGAGGTTCGGAGCAGAGAGCGGACGGATTCGGAAAAGCTTGGCTCCAGATAACACCAGTGAAGCTATCGTCCACAGAAGTCTGCCAACCTGTCCCCCCCCATCAACACTGAACGGCAAGCCTGGCTGAAAAGCGCAGCGGCGAAACCATTACAGCAACTGGTCGACTGGTCACCATCTGTATACAGGCAGATGGAGCCAAACGAGACCGGCTTCTGCAACCAGGGAAGCGCCTAACACCAGCGAAAACCAGTGCCAACCTTGTCAAGTCGGATTGTGGACGTACATGTTTTTTATTTCTCTGCCAATAAGTTCTTTTTTTTTTTTTCATTACAAGGATTCGGAAATAAAAAGAAAAATTAGTCGCAAATATATTTCTCCGATATAACAAATCAGACGGAACTCTCAGCTTCCTTTCTTTGTTACCGTACAGAACCTGACACCCTCAGATGCAATTGAAAACATTTTTCGAACTTTTCACAGTAGCATATGTGGTACAAGATGCAGTCATGCAGTGCATTTAAAACAAAGTAAAACAAACAAAAAAATAAACCCTTGTCTGTCGTTTGTTTTCCTTTGCCGTTTTTTGTGTGCTGTATTAACATGAATCAGTACCAACTAGCCCAGTTTTCAACACTCCTACAAGCAGCGTATGTACCAAACCTACATGTCAAATGCCCACAGGTCCCAGGTGTGGTCAAAGCACGAATCACTCTCGCTATTTGTAATTCGCATTATGCAGGCACATAACAGTCTCACTTGGAAGAGGGTGAGATATAAGAAGCAGCAACAGCAAAACTATTCAATCGTGTACAAGGCCCGGCCAATGCAAAGGCGAGTTGCATAGAGCGAGCTGGTGACATACCGTAATAGAGTTTTCAACCTATTTTTCTGCTCTTCAAAAAGAGCAAAAGAGACTACACCTAGCAGTCACATCAACCAAGTCCTAAGAGATTCTGCAATGTAGTACTCCCCAATCTATGTCTGAGTTTTGTTAGTGGCGACTGCCTCAATGATTTAGAAGATGTAGTGATGAACAACAATCTTTAATTTGTTCCAAATAAAATTCTGTTAGCAATGTGGCTTATGGCAGCTAGGCAATAGGGTTGTGCGAATATTCCAATTTTCGAATAATACGCAATTCATTATTTGCTTTGGGGCAAACTGCAATATTGAAATGTGTTGATCACAGTAGGTTAGCCCCATTAAGTGCGTTTCTTACTGAGCACCGGTGCACTGCAGAGAACCAGCACTCGCAGAGCTCGCTTCAGCCAGAGCCGTATATAGAGTTTGGTCGATGGGAGGACCAGGTAGAGCCAGGGCGTGCACAAGACAAAGATAGAAGGTTTGCTGTGCTCTCTTGGTCAACCAGATGGCGAAAATAGTCCGCTAGAGGTGGTAGCGAGAAACACTTTTAATAAGTGCATAAGAGTTAAATGGAGTAACTCTTCATGGTTGAAAATACAGTGCATGTGATGTTTCAATTATGATCATGCGAAAAGATGTAAGAATCGAATGGGCCTCTCAAACTTTGTTCTGCTTGGTTGGAGTCTGACCGCACAAACGGCATTTTCCCGACTCTCAGCACCTGGCGTAGAGATCACGTCAGTCATTTTCCCAGAATTTGATTTTGCATGACCGTGATCTAAAAATCATGTGCACCATATTTTCAGTCACCAAGAGTTACTCTGACAGACTTATTAAGTTTGTTTCTTGCGGCCACCGCCAGGGTATTATTCGCGGCTTCTGGCTGGCCACATTCGAATCTGTGAAAGCGCCCGGAACGCGCCCAACTGGCCCTCGGCCAACGCCGCCTCCTCATTTGCCTCCTACACTTCCCAATGAATGGCCAAACTGTCTTTATATATGCTCTGGCTTCAGCAGGTATTGCTTCTCCGCAGTGCACCAGTGCTTGGTAAGAAGCACTCTCAACGGGACTAAAAGCCGCAATCAACAGTTCGAAAAGTACAAATATTTTAGGCACTTCCTAAGGAGGAAAGCACGCTTTCAAAGTGAGATGGTGCACGTGCATATCTGGTGTATTTAAAAAGAAAAGGAAACTTTGTGAATGTTGATATCTACACTGCAGTAAAGTTTTCCAAATTAAACTAGCTACTTTTGTGACCGAAAAAAAAAAAATATTTGCATAAAGCAAGCATATTTATTAATCCCCTCGATTAGGTACAGCTGGGCATCTCTATAGGTTTAATTTTATGTCAAATGTGTTGTTTACTTGCCATTTCTCACCAATAGACTGTGGCCCCAAATTTCCATGTAGGCATGAGAGTTTGGGGCCACAGCTGGTAAATATACCTAGATTGAAATGAACTTAGGTTAGAAATGAACAAGTAAAAGCCTTGAAACAACAGTTCACAAGTTCAGCTCGGTTTTCATTCCAGCATGGTGCAGTATATTCGATTTGAAAATATTCGGCCAAAACCACTATTTGCTTTAAATTTGCTTCGAACTCAAAGTTCATTATTGACACAGGCCTAGAAGCTAATGTGTGCCTGAGTGAGCAACAAACCGACTAAAAAGTTTTCCGGGATTCTTGGGTTGAGCGCCAGAGCCCATCCCTCCATGGGGGGATGAGCTATCTTTTGAGTATATATGATGGAAAAACTGTGCTGGACAAAACAGTTTGCTGCGACTGGATGATTCTAAATCTCCAATGGCATTGGAAACAAAAATTACACGCACAATCATTCCAACAAACGCGATGAAGTGCAGTAGCTTTACAGAAACACCGTTAGTGAAAACAATTAGGAAAGGAAATGGTACAATGATGAAATGGTTGTAATATGCCATACACACATCCAGGACGATGTCCTAGAGGATGACATCAAGAACGACATCTAGGACAACCTCTAGGATGATGCTCAGGATCACGTGAAACACAACCTCAAGAACAACGTTTAGGATGACGCCAAGGACGGCATCTAGGCCAACGTCGAGGATGATGCCCTAGAGGACAACGTCAGGAACGACCTCAAAGATGACGTCGAGGATGACGTCTAAAACGGCCTCTAGGGCGACATCAAGGACGTCAGGTCAGGTCAGCTTTCGGCACTTACAAGCATATGCAACCGCTGCTTACGCGAATGTTGCCTAGGCAACCAGTGCTTACGTGACCTTGCATTCAGCCACGGACATTACGTAACCTTAATTACACAGCCTTGTACTTCAGCCACGGGCAGTATGTGACCAAGAGGACATGACCTTGAGTGTGGTTGGGCCTATGAGGCTACTGCTTTAAAACAAACCCGCATGCAACGGCACTGAGTCAAGCAAGAGAGCACAACACTGGCACCCTATGCAATGTCCCTAATGCAAGCGCTCTTTTCTTCTCAACACTCTGCCACCAAGCAGGGGAACCACGCAGGAGCAATCGTCAGCACCACCATCATGGGACGACGACCCAAATATCAAATCTGCAAAGAACCATCTTCCCCTGTGATGCCCGAGCAGGAGTGCTTTGAACAGCCTTTGCTCCCCGCAGGATTAGCCAGAGCAGACAAAAAAGAAAGCCAAGGCCAGCGACAAAATCAAATTTACATATACCGTATACATGTGTGTAATGGCCGCGCCCTAATAGCTGCACTATATACGGTATTAAAATTACTTGTGTAATTTGTGACCAGTCATTTGAAGAAGGTTAGAAGCACCATCTGCTTTGTGGCAATAGAACAAGCGACTCGAGAACATTCTGTCAGCAGCTAGCGCCAAACGGTGCACAAAGTTTCGCACCATTTGTTTTACATTTATGCTCCATCTTGGGCTCAGAGTGAGCAAAATCACAAAGCGTACGGACGGTTTCAGTCTTTCTGCTGGCGACTAGGTATCTCCCGCCAGTTCCCACTAGCAACTATCTCAATGGGCAAGTATGTGAGCTACACAGCCCATTTTAAGCTGAAGGATTTTAGTTTGCCAAACAAAAAATTAGAGGTTTCATTTCCCTGGAATGCCAAATTAGAACGCAGCTCTTCAGGAGGATGAGGGGAAAGTACAGAGAAGAGCGTATGCCCCTCCTCCTCCGTATCCTCTCCTCCTCCACCCTCCTCCTCTCCTCCTTCTACCTCCTCCTTCCTCTCCCTCCCTCTCTCCTCCCTCGTGACGTTACTCGTGAAGGTGTGAAGGTTAGTGACCTTCACAAGTGAAGGTCACTAACAGTCATGACCTTCATGACGTCACTCGTGACGTTGCTCGTGACGTCACGTGTGACGTCATTTTAGGAAACGTCCCATAATGCTATGCATGGTGACGGCGACGCCGTTCAAGCTAGAAAAGGGTGCTTAAGAGCTGCGCTCTAAAAGGCAAGAGAGCCACCGGACGAAAGGTCGAAGGTGGCGAAATATATGTATATCGTTGGTGCCTGCAAGAAGGCACTCCAAGAGAGGCAAAGAAAACAAAGCGAGCCTTCCAAGGGAAGCAGAGCATGTGTCCCCAGGTAGAAGATCAGGACAACAATGTAGAGCTGACTTCCGAGGAGGATTGTACGGACTATTGACCGTAGTGCAGACAGGAACTGCCAATGTGTTTGTTAAAGCAATAAGCTCCTTTTTTTGTTTTTCGTTTTGTCCAACACACAGAAGTAATTTCATATGATAAAATTAAGCACAAACTCCTTTTACTCTTGATTAAAACATACAGTGCAAGCAGATGGCACAGAAGAGAGAACACACACAAGCGGACGGGACAGAAGAGAGAAGACACACAAGACTTCTGTCCCATCTGTTTACGCCATATATTTTAATCAACATGCTTTACCAACACACCAAAGCTTCCATTTTAATCCTTCAACTCCAAAAAAAATACTTCACAGAAAAACAATTTCTTTCTTTTCGTCATGTAATGATTGAATTTATAACTTTCACTCTAAAACACGGAAAAAAAAACCTGCGGCTATTACACGCATGTAGACGGTAACACGCTTCCACTCTTCCTATGCGTGGCCCGTGTGCACAAGACGGACTAAGTAGAACTTTCATCGCTTATTATTTGTCCTTAGCGGTGGTCCCTCAAGCCACTTTCGCACTGTTAATACACAATAGAGAAGACAGTCTGCGGACGCTCTCCAAGGCGTGTCTCTTCGTTGTATGACACGGGTCATACAAAAACCGTCTGCAGACATGTTCGAAGCATGTACGACACAAACATACTTTGAATGTGTTCAAAGCATGTCCACAGATTATTTTGCCATCACATCTACAGCGAATTTCATGTCTTTCTGCACAATTTACGAGCGGTGCGACTACGGGCTTGGGCATTATGCAGGAAGCAGTATGCAACAACTTGCACAGCAGAAAAAGGGAAACCGCAAGCTCTAATTAATACTGCTAAGGACCTCGCCTGACAAAAGCGACAAACAATGGACGCTGCTTGCTCGTTACCAACTTTGTTTTCTTTTGACCCCGACAAATGAACATGTATGTGAGCAAGCGGTATTGCCTGGGATTGCTCGAGTGGCTAATAGGCATACTTAGTTTCTTTAGACAGGCAAGTGTTGATTAAGTAAAGAACTGGCATTAATACTAGACCTGCCTAGTCTTTCTTAAAGGGGCAATAAAGAGGATTCTGCGATCGTCTGTCTTTAGTCATAACTGATTCTACATGATCTAAGCATACTAAAAATTCAACAATTACAATCACGCGATGCCAATTTCTCTAATAAAAACATGACGAAAGGTCAAGACACACCACTTTCTGAGCAGATTCTTCCGCTCAAGGAAGGCGGGGCATACTCCAGCAGTGATGTCGGCGCAGTAACGATGGGCACTCCTCGGTCCATTGCAAGTCGCCTGTCCAAGAGAGGCGCCTTGCGATTGGTCATTGAACGCGCATCTTCACTACGCTGACACCGCTGCTAGGGTATCAACCAGGGCCTATCCTGAGCAAAAAAATCCACTCAGAGAGTGGTGTGTCCCTCCCTTTCACTATGTTTTTAATGAAAAAAATTAAGCATCTCACAATTGTAATTTTTTTTTTTTTTTAGGGTGCTTAGGATTTGTAGAATCAGTTACGAACAAGAACAGACAATCGCAAAATTCTTTTAGTGCTCCTTTAAGAAAATGAGGTGGTGCCACCTACCGTGTGTTTCCTGGGCACAGGTGTTGCGGTCGGCCTCAATGTACCATGAGAGGATGAAGAAGAAGAGGCTGCCCAGCACCAGAACGCAGATGGGGACGTATAGGGCGTACTGGAGGCTGAACAGCAGAGAGGAATCGTCCTTGCGGCCCGCCAAGATGGCGTCGTACAGCTGCCCATGTAAGAAAACACAAACATCAATGTGACCCAAGCATTGACAATCTGCCGCAACAGTGCCGATCCCCACACGCAGGCAAGACTGATATACTTTGTGCACCACTGCAGTGAAACCCGTTTAGAACAAACGCACGTACAGCGAATTATTGTAGATATCGAACTCACGGAAAATTTAAATAACAACGCATGTAAAAGTACTTTTTATAACAAACATATTGGCTATATTGAACTTTTTCATCCCGGGAAGGCTTCCAAAAATGCGCAAACAATCGTCTTCTAACCTGTCCCTGCCCCTCTTCCCCCCCCTCCCAGAACAAAATTGAGCGAAGAGAAGCGATTCAGAAGGGGAGAACGCTGAAAAGATACACTCTGCAAGCACGCACAATAAAAAAAATCTTTTCATCCCAAAATCATTTCCTACGAAAAGAAGCGATCCAAAAGGGAAGATGAGCTAAAAAAACAAACTCTGCACGCATGCAAAAAAAAAAAAAATCCTTTCCAGCGCGTTGTTAGAGGCGGAAGCGAAGAGATATGAAAAAGAAAGAGAAGCTCTCGCCTTACAACGAACGTATTGTGGAAGTTCGTTGTAAATGGTTTTTGCTATATCGAATTACTTGCTATATCGAACTGATTGTAGCTTTTCTTGCTGTTTGTTATAAACGGGTTTGACTGTAGTCAGGTATTTCACTGTGTTCGGATACACACAAATAGTAAACATATTGTTGAGATGGGACACTCCCAAAGGAGTTCAGACCTAAAACAAACCCCATAAGAACTTCATTCTTCGAGGGCCTACAGAGAACTCCAGAAGTCTCAAAGCGCACTTTTCAAGGTGTGTCGCACGATCCCACATTTGGTGTATTGAAACTGAGGACTATAAAAGACATCGGGCAACAGCCTTTTTTTAATGAGGTGCAGACTGATGTACTACCTACCGTAATGTTCTGAGAGAACGCCCGCCCCCGAGAGATCGCCCATCCTGTTCTTTCTGGCTAAAGATCTGTCCAATAAAATTCTGAAACATCGCCCACCCCAGACTCCTGTTGGACGTCACGCGATGTCCGATGGGGATTGCTTCAACCGCTAAACTTTTCTGTACAGGCACGTCTGACAAGCCAGTTCATAGCGGGTTCCCGCGTTTTTGTCCCCGATCTGCGTATGCGATATCTGCTACCATAACACGCAAGTTGTTCCCGAGTGTATGTTGCACCGTGAAATGCGAAACTGCTGCGTCCGCAATCTGTGGTATCCGTTCCCATGACAAAGTTTGTAGTGGATTCCCGAGTTTTTGTCCGCGATCTGCGCGCAAAATCGATTTCACGCGAGTTGGTCTTGCATGTTTATTCCATCGCAAAATATGATTCTGCTGCGTTCGCGATCTATGGTATTTGTTTCCATAACATACGAGTTTGTAGCAGATTCCAGCATCTTGGTCCGCAATCTGCACGCACCATATCGGTTCCGGTGACAAGCCAGTTTGTAGCGGGTTCCTGCGTGTTTACTGCACCATAAAACTTTAATCTGCTGCGTCCACGATATGCGGTATTCGTTCCCGTAAGTTGCAAGTTCTTGGCAGGTTTTTGTGGCTCCTTTGCAACGTGAAATGCAAATTTGCTGCATCCGCAACCTGCATTATCCTTTCCCGAGACACAGAAGTTTGTAGCAAATTCCCACGTGTTTATCGCATTGTGAAACGCAAATTTGCGGTGTCCGCTATCTGCGGTATCAGTTCTCGTGTCACTTGGTTTGTAGCCAGTGCTAGGGTGTTTATCTTAAATGTTTTTATAAAATTTTGCTGTGGCATCTTCAAATATATTGCCCCATGTTTTTCATCATTTATCTCTTCATTTTGGGTAGGCATTCTTTCGGAACTTTACGGTAGTTGTAGTTTCAAATGGGTCATACCGATAAAAAAAGTGTGAACACACACCATGAGAATGCACAGTCCCTCTCTTTTATCTACTTCAACATTCAAACATACGCCATCAGCAACAATGCAAAACCAGCAATCATTTGCACTTTATCCGTACAAGCAAATACCGAACACTAAATGTCACAAAACTCTATGTCAACGGCAGGCATACGTAATCTGATAATATGGTTGTGTGTTTCTTGGTTAAGCTATTAAGATGCAAGAAATCACAAACACCATGATGCAAAATCAACTAGCCCAATTAGCCATCAAGATTTGCAGGAGACACTCGACGATTCCGCAGCGTGGCGGTTACTCTGGCCTGCATCTTCATTGAATATTTTTCCGTATTGAGTATTGAGTAAGTGCAGGCGTAGCGCCGTTTCGACGGCTTGGAAAGAGAAGTGCAAGCAGAAAAGCACCAAGCTCACCAAGCCAACGATGTATGGGCTGGATGCATCCCCAAGCAGGTGGGAGCACAGGATCTGGAAGGCCGCTCCCGTCGCCCGTCGCGTGGGCACCACCGTGTACTGCAATGGATGTGCTTTTGTCCCAATGCGCAGTAACACTCGTGACACCTATCTACAGCGAGAGCCGGATGGATATAACACACTTTATATAAATCTAATCAGTTTCGAATGCTCCCACACTGTAATTCACCAAAAAAGTATGACTATTTGGCGCATATATTTTGCAAAAGCATCGAAGTAAAAACTTACCTCAATCAAAAGCTATAAATAAGAAATAGGGTTCGGTAGAGTCGTGGCTCGGTACCCGGCACTTTGACAACTGAGAAGTGCTGAAGCAATACGGCTCCCAGGCTTCTTTTATTGTGGCTAGACGTATAATGGTGATTAACCTAATTTATGTCCCCCTGGAAAAGAAATTGCAGCTTACCAGTAGAATGTCAGCCACGATGGACCAGTTCAGGCAAATAGAGGTGATGCCAAAGAAGAACAGCACCTGGAACATGAGACGTTGTGGAATTGAAGTCACCTTGCCCAGCTAAACATGAATAATTTGCAACAGGTAAGCACACCCAATGTTTGGGTAAAAACAAAAATCCACCAAATTGCCCTTTGAAAGCGGGTGGTACCGACACCAATACTAGATGCCTAGACAAAGCAGATGGTCAGAGGGGATATAATGTCCAACTGGGCACTCCGTAATTTGTGTCATTGTTTTGAACAATGTTAAACAATTAAATGAGAAGAATAAAACACTTCAAGAAGACAGAAGACTCGCAGCTCCCAAAACCAAGAGCCTCAATAAATGAAGTGACAATATTGTTAGTGGAAGTAAGGAAACAAAAGAAAGAATTAATGTGTAAAACAAGGGATGACACAAACACATCCTTCAACTATGCTTGCAGACAACTTTCTGTGGAATTTCAGAAATGAAGAGCGCACGTGCACAGCTCTGATCAACACTCCAGACGCGCAAGCGCCCGTGCGCGCATAGCTTTGACAACAAAGCCGCAAGTCCGCAAGTACTACAACTACAAAGACAAATTCAAACTATATATTATAACATGTCTGTCGCTAGCTGAAAGATGTGCTTAAAGCCCAGAGCCCCTAATACTGACTCCTGAGAGTGTTTAGCCGATGGGTAGAGCTTACTGCCTGCCAACACGAGCAGACTTTGCGGTGCCACAAGATGGAGGTTTTTGCTTTTGGCCACTCCACTCTGCATGCACTAATCCAAATTTGCAATTAGGAGTTGTTTCATAAACAGAATTTCTCGTGCACAGACATTCTGTGACGCTCGCAATTGATCAGAGTATCAAAAAACCAGTCATCCCTTATTGATCTCCAAAAACAGAGCTTACAAATAAGCTTTTCTTTCCTTTAGGTTTTATACAAAACAGTGCCTTCTCAAACCGAAAGGCACTGGGCAATTGAGAGCACATGTTTGCAGGACCTCCCCTAGGTGGTACACATTACAGCACTGAACTTTGGCGGTGGTATTTTTGAGACATACTGAGAATTCACTTCAGAAAGAGAGAGGAATTAATGTAAGTCATATAATTTTAAAAGACTGAAAGCAGATAAGTAAGCTTAGCTGCTGATTGCATGTACGGCACCAAAGACGCTTACAACAACAGGAAATGCTTTCGTCACAGAGATGGGTCCGTGCACTCTCAGTGTGCTCAATTCAGAACAGGTCAAAAATTCAGCATCCCAAGATGGTGAAGGAGATCCCGTCTCTTGGTTGCGAGGCTCCCTGCGGTAGTGGCTAGACTGCCAGCACGTTCGAAAGAATGCCAAACTCTCCAGGTACAAAGTGACTCTGTTCGTGTCTCCCCTCGTTTCGCGCGATCGTCCTTTCTTTCATCTTCCGAATAACGAAAGAATGAGCGCCTCATTCTCTCGATTTCCGGCGGCGGGGACCGGCGCCACGAAGGGACGTGGTGCCAGCACTCACCCAGGTGACGTCTGGCACCTTGTAGGCGAAGACGGAGCCGAGAAAGAGCAGCGGCACGCTGGTCACCATGCCCCCAGCACAGATGAGGGCGTCCGCCTTCACCGAGCGCCTGCGCAGCCGCGCCGACAGGGTACTGCCCACCGTGACACCCACTATGCCCGCCAGCGTCGTGATGCCCCCGAAGATGGTGTTCACCCTGGGCCGCCACATGAGAAAGAGCAACACAGTACGATTAGCCTCCTTTACCTAATCACTATAAGCGAGAAAGGTAAAACGGGCATTCTCAAACGGAGCACACCTTCGCAAAACGAGACGAGAAAAAATAGATTAGACACAAGGATAGAACCAGAACTGTGATGCGTATTCTAGCCTAGCCCCCCCCCCCCCCCCCCCCCCCCCCCCCCCCCCCCCCCGTTTTCTTACAGTCCAATTTTAATGTATGCCGTAAATTTCGTTCAGATTAAAAAGAACAGAGGAAGAGGATATTATTTCTTCTCTCATTTATTAAAAAACCACCAATATATAGAAAAAACAAACATGAATTCTTATGCAAATTCCAGATGCATGTACAATTGTATATCTAACATCCTCATGAGAACTTAAGCTATCGGAGATTTATCTGGAGAGCAAGTCGTCTGCTCTTTCCACAGGAGCTGTGGTGACGTCAGAATGTTGCCAAGCTCAGATTGGCTTTGGTGGAAAGGATAGTGGGTAGACCTGAATTCTATATTCCATAAGGTCTAACCAGTATGCTTTCCAATCAGCCAATAAGGGCTCGGCGTTCTGACATCAATGCAATCCCTGTGCAAGAAGCAGACGAACTTGCGCTCCGCATTGAGATTAAACTAGGTCACTTCTGCCATGTCGCATTAAAGGCCCGTTCACACTCTTGCAACGTCTTAAACCTGGGTTCCTTAAAACTTCTTAAACCAGAGAACACACTGGCGCCATCTATTGGGAAGCAGTGTAAACTCGGCGGTCCGGCATATTTTTTTTAATTTCTCGCACATTATCCTTTCTTTCTTGGCTCGAAAAACTTTTGCAAATGTTATAAACGAGCCTTTCTATGGGTATTACGCACATTTGACCTCGGAAATCCCGCAAAACTTTCGCTCTTGTGAAATGCAGTTGCAGGGTCACTGCATAGATGGCGCCACAATGGCAGTGTGTTCCCTGATTCTAAAAACATTTAAGAAGTTTTAAGAGATCTCGCCTCTCTCAGTCGTACTGGGTCGCAAGAGTGTGATTGGGCCCTAAGGATAGAGCTACGAAACTGTTTCCACCCTCACTAAAAATCCCCTGGCCCCTTCATTCTCTCTATTTTTTCTCACTCAAAATAAGGAATCAGGATGTCTTTCCTTCTTTCTGGTTGCCTGCAAGTCTCTAGGCTTTCCATTTAAACTGCCTTCCAAGCTCAGAAAGGGCACCAAGTCCCCGAGACGACTCGAACAAGCCTTCAATCAACAGCTGCGATCAACAGGACCACGGAAGTCGTCGCGCGAACTCAAGAAAGATTGAGGCTTACTTCCTTTCGTCGGCCGTGCCGGTCGTCAGGTAGAGGTTGATGGCATTCACCATGTAAGTGGGCGCCCACCACGACATGGCACCCGTGGCAAAGGTCACGCAGGTGAAGCCTAACGTCGACCAGATGTACGAACGACTGCAAAGAAAAACGGATAATGGCAAGACAAAGGTGAGCAAGGTTCTCGAGACGTTATTCAGATAGATAACAGTGACGGAGTCGCTAAGAGTGGGTCACTAACTACAATGACTAAAATTCTAAGTTGAAAAGTCTGCCTTAAGTGCAGCTCTCTTTGTTTTTCGAGGAAGCATCGAGGGTTTCTCCGCTCGAGTGGGCCATTTAGCTGCATGGACGCTCAGCCACCGTTTGTTTCAACGACCAGAAAACACGCTGGTCCTAAATGCAGTCAGGAAACTGTACTTGTAACATGCTGAAAAAGTACTCTCGCTCCTGCTTTGTATAAAAATATGCAATTCAAACCAATCGGCTGAAAAGAGAATATTAGAACGATAAATCCAAGAGCTCATGCTCGTGTGTTCTTGCAAAAACATTTTTTCCATCTGCTTGCTCGACCTATGTCATGACTAAACGTCATGCCACTATGCACAGTACAATGAAACTATGAATCATTACTGCAGTATGCACAACTTGGAAGATTGAAGATATAAGGAGGCTGCAGGTACAATACTTAATTCCTTCAACACATATATCAACAACTATACCCTCGTATTTATTTACTTGTGTGCGAAAGTTTGCGTTGCAATACAAACTATGATACTCGCCCAGTTTCTGCCAGAGCTACAGAGAACAAAGATGAACTCAAACGCAATGATAAACTAGCCGATGCGGGGAGTCACTATTTTGGGCAAAGATAATTAAAGGCAGAGTCACCTCTTAGTCAATATTTTGAGGAAGAGGTGACCCTGCCTTCACTGCTGCAGTTACCTCACGGTGAAGTTTCAGTGACCTGGTATGCGACGTTCATTCATTCCCCTCAACAAATCCTTGCGTGTTCTCTCAGGCAGACCCAGTATATTCATGCGACAAACTTTTCGCAGTTGCTTTCTGTTTGCACAGTTTTAGAAAACTAGGCCACTGCAGGATGACTATCACAAAACATCTAAAGCAACTCCTGCTCATTGCGAACCCTGAGCTGTCCAAAGAAAGGACTGCTCAGGGTTCAAACCCAGGACTTCAGAGGTCGACACGAGACCCCTGTGCTACAGAGGTGGTGCGGATGGAACCGTAACAACTGGGCAGCTCTAGCGCAACCTGCCAAGAGCACTCCCGCCAAAACTCGTGCATGGCCCCCGTCTGGGGAAGGCGAGAGTGAGAAGGGAGTGCTTCTCACTTGCGTGCAAGCGAGTACAGGTCGTGACGCAGCAACGACGGCCCCAGGTTCGAGCCCCCATCGCTGGCCCCCCTTAGGGGCTCGCGCAGCACAAACAGAATGAGCAGCACCGCCACCAGCCCCAGTGCAGGGGTCACCTGCAACGAGCACCATGTTTTAGTGTATGCCCACTCTTCTGATAATGCCACGCTGCAGAAACGACGCAAAGGTGGTCGAGGTTATGAGAAAGACAATGTTTCGCTAAGAGGCTTAGCCAACCAAAAGAGTGCATTGTAATTAAAAAAAAAAGAGTGATCAAGGAACACTAGCTAACTTTTTGACAAATAGTAAAAGAAGTAAGCTAGACTCATTTGCATTCCACCCATCTTGAGGTTTATATTCAAATTAATGCTAGCTTGTGAGCCCAAAATGATGTATTCTAACAAAGAACAGGCTCGCAAGACCACCGGTCATAGAAAAACATTTATTTGTTTTTCTTTTCTTACAATTTTTCCTCCAGGAGTTCTAAAATTTTGACATGAGAGAATTTTAGAAGACATGTCTACTTCTGCCTTAACTACCTCTTTGCGAAAACTTACACATATGTGCAGTGCAATAAGTCAACGATACTTTAAAATAGCACGCCGTGTGAAGGACGCAGCAGAGGAGTGGTAAGCATGCATCAAAGGGTACAAGGCTTCAAAGAGTTCAGTTCAACAAAAAGATAGGCTTTACCAGCAACATTAATGCCTGCAAGTGTGCAAAACAAATGAGCCACCAGTCGCAAACAGACGGAGAAAGCTGCACCTCTTGTTTACGTTCTTAAATGCTGGCAGAAGGTCAGGAGCCAAAAGAGCAATAATAGTAACCATAAACTCACACTGCATGATCATATTAATGAATGCTGAATGAAAAAAGCAGCACCTACCCTCAGTGCCCAGTACCAGGCACCCATGGCAGAAGCCACGGAAGAGCCCACGATGTAGCCCAGGCCACTGGAGGAGCCCACAGAAAAGAGCAAGAGATCATGTCAAGAACAACAAAGTAAACCAAACCAAACTGGACGTTTGTGTGTAAACAGCGTTAGGTTTGTCCGCGTTTGAGGTATGGCGACACGGGTTTACGCCGTAGACGAGAACATTAGCCAGTGCAGTACCTAGCGTAGAGCCTTTAATGTACATCACACTGTAGCTATACATGAATGCATGTCAGTATGATACTCATCCAGGTCGAAATGGGCAGGAGGGGAAAGGGGATTGAACCCGGGGTATGTCAGTTCTGCAGTGCGAGCTTTCACTCTATGTGCTCCGAGCTGCCCAGTACAGTATTAGAGCGTACTAGCTGCAGTGCGCAAGTACGCTCCAATACCGATTCCCCTCAAAACAAGAATGTGCAGTAAAGCCTGCTTTGTAGCTCTTACTGCCTTCTGCAAGAAAATCTTTATTTGATTTTTTTTTTTTTTTTTTTTTTTTTTTTTTATATTTATAGCATTAGTAGCCAAAAAACAGAGAAAAGCTGACAACACCCGTCTGTGGACAAAATAGTGGAAAGGGAAGCGCGCCGCGTAGAGACAACACCTCATAGAAGTTAAGGTTGTAGTGCTTTGAGTCGCGACGTCACAATGGCCAGAGAAGAGAAGCCACGTTAAGAAAAGGCACCCACTCTGGTTCTCTTTGTCCCGGCGACGTCATGTGCTCACTCGGGTCACGTGGTTTGTTTGTGCGCATTTATCCGGCATTATATGTTGTAAATGCGCAGTCTCGTATAACTTATTATATATATAATATAAACTTAATACAAAACACGTTACCAAAATTGAAAGCACCAAATTTAAATACATAATCATCCGTAACCGCGGGACCAAAGTGCAGTCCCGCAGCTCCCCACACTTTTCGAATGAATCAGCTCCGGCGACGACATTTTCTTCCCTCATACAGGCTCCGATTCTGATAAATTTACATTACGTGTGAGCTGCTGACTGTCTGAAAAGGAATGCCGAGACATAAAAGAAGAGATTGGAACCAAAAAAAAAATTCAGTCGCCACCACAGGGAGCACACACGAGCAGAAAATGGGTTGTCGACAATAAGCCTTTCATTACTTCCATCCCACGCTTCTGCCGCTGCTCTCGTGTGTGCTTCTTTTGTGTTTGTTTGATACTACGGCATTTATGTTGATTCATGAAGGAAGTCCTGCTGCAGTGTGAGTGACATGTGTGGAGACTAGTCAACGATGACACTGGTCGATTATCGATAAACCTCTCTCCCTCAACAGAAAAAGAGACGTCTTGGAGTTTGTGCTAAAACTTTTTCCTGAGGGATACTGCAGGACGTATGGATATGATGGACAAGCGAGAAACAACTTATTTACGGGCTTTGTTGGTCATGTAGGAGGCGAGTAGATTGCTGCAGTCGGTTGCTTTAATCTCGTCATAGAATGGAACCTCATTCTTCGTCGTTATTCCTGTGCAATCGTGTCGACATTTGGCGTGTTAACATTCAAGTTTGCACTGGAAAACAAGTTTATGTGCAATTATTGAAAGTGCTTTGTTTCTGCTTATGTGTTTTTTTTATACTAATGTCATTGTATTGCCTTTACCACATTTTCACAACAATCCTAGCTGTATTAAGGTAAAAGCATTATTAAATAAAAAATAAATTATAGTTTGTGCCAAGGCAGCTCGAGCCCATAAGAAGAAGTGGATTAGTTCGCTGTAAGTAGCATGTTTAGTACCCCTGCCACGCGGAAAAGTTCATATCTTTTCATTAAATGATATTATGGGATTGAATCAGCTCGCGATCCTGAGTGACCATTGTCGCGAGCTGATCTGCCCACCCCATAATGTCGTTCGATCTAAATTGCATTAATTTTTTTAGGATATAATGTAAGAATTCAGTGACTGCATGTATTAACATCACTTACATGATTGTAAGTTACATTTGGCTAGCCGCGTCCGCGTTGACTACGTCTACCCGATTTTTACTGTGATCCGTTTTGCTGTGTCCAATCACTGTGTGTCTCGCCATTTTGTGGAAGTAATTCTGTATAAAATATGCATTCCTACAGCAATAATTGCATGCTTCAATGCTTTCAAATTAAAACAATCACATTTTTCGGTAGACGTCTCATACGCATACCTCACGCCATTTCGTACCGATTATATTTAGCAATGTATTATTCTGCCCGTGTAATAAAATGTTTTCTAACCCCGTTGCTAGGTGCAGCTTTCACTTCAGGTAATAAGACACGCTTGTGAGACTTACGACGGTCGATCCACGCACGTTACCTTCGCCTCGGCGCTTCGACACGCGCTCCCGATAGCCTTCCTTTGCGACATCAAGAGAAGAGCGCTACGGCCTTAGCTTCTAGGAGGTGTTGGTAGAGAAGGAGAGCAGTGAAGGACAAAGGCGAGAATGAGGCGACGTCACGGGGTGGAAGCCAATACACACACGGATGCTGGGGCAGGTATGAACTTGCAGGTGTGCAGTGTGAACTAAGTACTAGCGCTGATCCAAGTAAGCGGCAAAAAAAAATTAAAAGGGCAGTGCAACGATTTTCAGACTTTGGCCAATTAACTGCGGAAATTAATCAGCGTCACCTACAGAACGAAAAACAGAAAACCGCATTTTCTTGCAAGTGCTAGTTCTTATTTAAAAAAAATGAAACAAATCCAAGATCGAAGTGCCTCTCAACTCTCCAAGTCGACTTTCGAGTGACATACTCTAGGGGTTCACGTAGTTACCCCTTGGGTCCTCTCTTCAGAGACCAGCCACCTCCTCCGCGATTATCGACTTTTAAAAATTAGCCTCGTCGAAGGTCGCGGCGAGCGATGGAAACAAAGGACGGTTCGCCACGGGGCTGACGGCGAGTGTAGCAGCGGAGGGGGACAGGGTTTGTTGACTTCCGTGTACCCCCAGAGACGCAGTCAATTTAGTTCCCGTAGCCGCCACAGGCGGCTGCAGATCGGCAAATAATTTGTTGTTTGCCTTGCGATTACGGAGCAGATAAGCAGTTTTTCGGGGAAAGGTGACGCATTATGGTCACTTGGGCTTGCATAAACAATATAAAAAATGCAAACTGGCAATTCTTTTAAGATTAAAACCGTTGTGCTGCCCCTTTAAAGGAAGATCCATTGGTGGATTCTTAGGGAATGCATTGGCAAAACCCTTGGGAAATGCCACGGACGTCCCCCTTCTGGAGATACTAATACTGAACCCGTAACGAAGCCAAAAAGAGGCAGCAAAAAGAAAAGAAGCCAAAGAGAAAGCCAAAACAGAAAAGCGAAGGAGTCAGTGCTAGCTTTTCCCAAAGGGGGATGTGTGCAGCGTTTCCCTAGGGTCATGTGAAAACATTCTCTAAGGATCCATCAATGAATCTTTTTTTAATGTTTTTTTCGTGTTGTCCATAACCAAGACTTTGAACGAAAAAAGTAGGGCCAAATGTTACTGTCCGGTTCTTTGCGGACGATTGCTTGTTGTACTGAAATACTTCTTGCTATAGTGACCAGGTGCGGCGAAGTTCTTCTTTACATTTAGAGCAACTGTGGTGTAGGCAAAGTAAAATTATAATTAACTGTGACAAAAAAGTATTCTGTAATAACAAGTAAAAAAAAGATCCTCTCATTTTTGTATGCTTTTGATAATTGACATCTTGCCAAAGTTTGTCAATGTAAATACCTAGACATCGCAATATCCTCCGACTTAAACTTGGACATATGCATTGAGAATGTTTGCTCCACTGCCGAGAGGAAGCTCTGGTTTCTTAAGCATAACCTTAAACTTGCTTTGCCCAAAACAAAACTAACAGGTTACAAAAAAACTTGTATGACCAACCTTAAAGTACACCTCCATCATGTGGAAGCTTATTTAAGCATACCAGATAAGCACACTTGAAAGGTTCAAAGAATGGTTACTACGTCTATATTATAAAAGGATCACACAACTGAGTCAGTACAGGACTTACACAACTGAATCTACCACTTCGTTTTGACCACCAAAAAATGGTGCATTGGCCTCACTCTCCAGGATTAAAATAATGTCTATTTAAAGTTACTGTTTATGCTCACAGGGGTGGAAGCAAGCTTCAGCCTTTTGGAGCAGGTCTGGGAGCAGCAAAGATGTTCCTTTGGAGCAGTAAAAGTTCAGCTTTGGAGCAGCTCAGGAGCAACAAAAATCGAGTTTCATAGCAGTATAAGTACTTAAAAGGTTAAAACAGCGCAAAAAACGACGGACAGGGTAAAGAAGGACACGGACAGAGTGCTGAGCGTTTTAAGTATGTCATACCAACTTGCCCAGGCTTCAACTTTAGCAACAGTATAAGTAAATCTTGGAGCTGGTAACTCGAGTCAAACTCAAACAAAACCCATATACAGTCACCCGTGAACAAGAAGCCGAGCTGGCTTCGAAACGTAGGGCACATTGAAGAAATTGGTTAGAGTCTACGTTGTACTTTTTCTTATTACTTACCTAACCAGGCGGAGTTTCGCCGAAATGTTTACATTTAAGCTTGTTTAGGAGTTTAATAAAAAAAATTGACTGACAAAACTAGCAAGTAAGACCATAAAACAGAAGGTTTTCCTGAAGTCAGTGCAGAGCGCAAGTTTGTCTGCTTCTTGCACAGGGGTTGCGTGACGTCAGAACGCCAAGCTCTTATTGGCTGACTAAAAAAAAAATAGTGGGTATACCTCAAGGCCCCTAGCATTGAGGTCTACCCACTATCATTTCAATCAAAACCAATCAGAGCTCCGCGTCGTTCTGAAGTCACCGCATCTACTGTGCAAGAAGCAGACGACTTGCTCTTCGCATTGCTTGGATGCGTTCCAGCGCAACGGTTTAAAATTTGTTTCGCTCAGCAGGACATTCCCACTGTTCTCCTGGTCCTCACTGCCGACTTGCTGTTTGGGTGCCAGCAGATGTATTCGCCACGTAAGTCATTTACAAGAAACTCTAGAGATGATCGAGGCAACCAATTATCGCTTTTACATGTTACGTTTACAACACAAACGAGGAACGCAGAAGCAGTCTCAGCAAAAGCACTCACTCCAAACACGCTAAAATAAATATATATTATGCCAAATGTTTAATTTTATAGAGTAGTTATTGCTTTCCCCAGAAATTAGATGATCGGTGAACAAGTGTGCGTGAGTGCGTGCATGTCGTGGCGGGCGGGGGGTGACACTACAAGCTATGTGAAACGGGAACTCTTCAACTTCAAAGTTTCCAAACTTTTCCCTCACCACAGTCTCGGGTTTTAAACACCCTGATTAACTATCACCAGCTTGCCTGCACACTCAGTCTTTTTGCTACTGATACATATAGCAGACAAGGCAAACTCGCGTGTGCTGTAAGTATGTCGGAACTCACTATGAACTTCCCAGTCGCGAATACGACAGCAGAATGCGGACACAGCGATTCGCGCTTCACAGTGCGATATAGACTCAAGAACCCGGCCCCCTCAAACTCGGGTGTCCCAGGAACCAACATTGCACGCAAAAACCACAGACAAAAAAAAAAAAAAAAAATTGCAAGAACAAATTTGGAATTTGCATGTCATGAGAATGACATGCAAATTCGTAAAGTCTCGTACAAACCCCGCATAGAATGGATGCTGCAGATTCAAGTGTCACAGTGCAATAAGCACGAGGGAACCTGCGGCGAGCACGCTTGTCGCGTACCGATACCGCAAATCACGCAATAAATGCGATTTTAAAAAAAACACAAAAAACACGGGATGTGCGATTTTTGCGGCAGGCGTTTATACGAGACTTTACGGCAATTTAATGCCGTGTGTGTAGTATCTCGAATACAATCAGTCATGCTCAATGCCACTGAGCAAAAAAAAACATTAAGTAAATGACGAAACGATGTATCGTTTCGTCGTTTGTCAGAGTTCTGATGAGTACTCTGACAAAGCGACCTGCGCATGTGCCATTTTCGGAGATCAGACTTACATGCCGTTGACACGACCACATCGGTATGGTGGTTTCATAACAATAGGGCCTTTTAGCAAACCGTTACCGAGTACCGCGCCCTACCAGAGCCTTTTAAGCATGCTTGTAAGCGCGTGCCCCGCAGTCACCGTATCACTCCAGTAGTGCACGGTATGCGATAACGGTTTGCTAAAAGGCCCTATTGGTTCAGAATTACATAAACGAACACAACACAGTAAGCCACTAAACCAATAAAGAAATATACTCCAATAAATATTGCCATTAAAAAAAATTTCGTTTGGCTAGTTTTGGTGCAACATGTGCATTTGGGAGCAGGATGGCACAGCAAAAGTGGATTGGGCACACAATGGCACAATTGGCACAGCGCTTCCTCCCCTGTGCTCAGGACTGACACGTTTAATATCAATCCAAATCGCTACACAACGGCCTGCTTACAAAGACCTCCAAGTAGCAACCATTCCGACCAAATTCAATCAGAAAAAGCAAGCAATGACACTTATAATTATTTACTCTTCCCAAAAACACTTTCAGATTGAAACACTTCACCCCAAGAAATAGACAGTGACAATGTACATAGATCTGTCTGAAAAGCCATTGTACCAACTGTACATTAAATGTTAATTAACCCTGCAATTAAGTTTCGTTTAGATTATGTGTGTTGGCAACCGTCCTGTAAAACGAGAGGTTTTATGCTTGCATCTCCAGACTCCCAGATGATCCATAAATTAGTTTTATTTGGACGCTGTTAGGCTAGTTTCACCTCACATTACTGCAGCTGTTTTTTTTGTTTGTTTTTTCTGATTACTTGGCATATTGGAAAGTGCCTCGTTTTTGTTTTGTACTGAAATGTACCTCTACACTGCCGTAACAGCCCTAAAAGGGCTAAGAGTATAAATATATAAAAAGATAAAATAGACAATGCATGCACATAATTGGTTCATTACCTTATTTTCTTTATATATTGTGCTGAATCTATGGCATTTATCACGAGTGCCATTAGAGGAACGGCAGCAGTATCCTCTGCTGGAGTGGAGATGTGGAAATGAAGGTAAGAGGAACGGGAACAACAATAATGTACAAATTCCTCAGGAAAGAAAAAAAAACATGTTCCTATCCGACAGAGCAGGATACTCCATTAGCGTTTCTCCTGAAAACATCCCAAGGCACAGCTGCGCAAAAGGGGGACGAAGGCACACACCTGTCCCCATTTTGCGAAACTTTTTGTGGCTTTCAGTCTCAGGATTTATTAGAGTGGGACAGTTCCCAGCCAACTTGTCTTCTAGGTAGAGTGATATACAACCTAAACAAACTTGAAGCGACCCAGAGAAAATGTTTGCTTAATTGAAAGTTCTCTCAACTGAATGGATTTGGCACAATGGGGTCTTGCAAGGGAATTTTACGAACGTTCACTCATTGCAATAGTTTGGTCTTCTGGATAGTTTGTTCTGCTGAATAGCTTGTTCATCTGGGTAGTTTGTTCCCAGCCGGATATTCCACCCTATTATTATTTCAAAGAGTGTGTCACCACACCTGCCCACAGGGATGGCAAAGTAGAAGACTGCCAGCATCCTGGTCCTCATGGGGCCCGCAAAGAGGTCCCCAATCACCGTGGGGGCCACTGTGGAGTAGCTGGCCTCCCCAACGCCCACCAGGGCACGCAGCACTGCAAACCACCCAAATTGCTGCGCAGAAGATTAAACAGTCTTCACTCTCGAATCAGGACACAAAATGGCAGGTCTTTTTGCTAATGAGTCAATTCGTTACCCGCAGAAACAGATGTGAATTCCCAAGGCAACACACAGGTGCTTTTGCACAGGATGCCGTTCCGTTCCACCAACCCCCGCCAACGGGTTTTTTTATCTGCAGCTAATTCTCTCTCCTCTATAATCCCTTTCCCCGCATGTGCAATATCTTTATGGTGTCACGTGACACAATGATGTCTGGCGACATCACCTGATATGTCTGTGTGTTACATGACAAGGTCATGTAACACTGCAACATCACATGACAACATGATGTCACGTAAACCAGAACATGGCCAGGGCCGGATTAAGTGACGGGCTAAGGGGGCTGCAGCCCAGGGCCTCAGGCTGCCAGGGGGCCCCGTGCTGGCCCCCAGAAATTTCAAAAAGAAATGCGAGTTGGTTTCAATTATAATGCAATTAAATGCAAAGGGGCAAGCGAGCTGGACAAGAATGACGAAAATAATCCCTGGAGAAGGGGAACAAAGGTTTCAGTTCAAAACAGCTCAGACCTAAAGGAGGACCAAAACTCAGAGGAGCTTCTGAGCCCTGGCTACATGAGCAAGAGCTACATACATGCTACACATTATTTTTTGTTAATTTTAGGCCCTCCAGCGTAGTTTCTTACGGAAAGTTTCCTCCAAAAAGACAACTTTAAAACAAGCAAAAATAAATATTGGTGGACCTCTCGAAGCCAACCTTTCTAACCACTAACAGGCTTTTCAAGGAGCAGGCTTGTGAGATGTACCCTAAAAGTTTCCGAGAGGCGGTGACTGCAACTTCTTGGAGCATGTGTCTAATCTGCCAGTGCAATACAACACTTTTCGTGCCACCAAGTGGTACGATCGCTGAAATTTTTTTACGAGCCTCTGAGGTATGACCTATTATTCTAGCTTAGAATAATATGTCTAAATGGCTAAAATGTTCTTAATTACTGCAATTAGAAGAAACAAGACCACTTCCAAAACTAATTAAAACATTTTCCTCTTAAGATAGACAGCATGTAGGAAAGAAGCTTACAAATATGTCCTTGATCTTCATGAGAAATGCCTGTGAATATGCTTCAATGACAGTGGTTTCTATATTGCGATTGCATTCAGTCTTGGTTATTTCTTTTATTATTTGAATGCAGAAGTCTGTTAGTTTGGAACACGGGAGTCCAGTTATTAGAAGAGTGTGAACAAAGCGGTTTGAGCCCCAAGTACATTAACTACCAAGATTACTTCGTTGTCTGTGTTGCTTTACTGTACGAGTCAGTAATTAATTAAAAAATGGCTAGTTAAACAAGCTCCAATAAATCGGAGCAATTTCTGGAATAAAAACACCATATTCTCGGGAAAGTTCTTGAGTTGCGACTCGCAAAACATGTCTTTAAGGGCAGCAATTTTTTTTTTTTTTTTTTTTTCTTGTATGGAGAGTTTTGCAGGTATGCTTTTGGTTACTGTCTAATGCAATTTGTGCCCAAGTAACTATGCCACTCGACATCAAGGGGGTCCCCATCTGTACCATCTCTCTAACTCAACATCATGACCTCTCTAACTCAACATCATGATGAATGCATGCAAGCCGGAAGAGACACATACTGCATAAATAATGTTGCAGACGTGGTCAAACAAGTTCATAAAAATGCGGAGTCGCTATTTTTAAATTTTTAACAAAAGTTCACGAGGCCATGGAACTGCTCAATGTGCACGACCTTTCTTATCATTTTCACCAATCGTTCATTGCTCTGCGCTCTTAGTGAGCGATTGACTTCTCCCAAAACAGCCTCTCATCTACAATCGCACCTACTTCATTTCCATGTAGTGAGACCCAAATTCCCTAATCAATGAACTTACTCATAAAGAAACCTTCTAAAATGTATCATAAAATGAGCAATATTTGTACCTTTTAAGGTGGATAATTATACAAATTGCAGTCCCTCCCATTGCCGTCATTTTCGTTACAACCACCACCATTGTCATCATATTCAGTACTATCATCATCGTTAGGGGCCTCATGAACTGCTTTAGTCCAGGGCCCCCAAATTCCTTAATCCGGCCCTGGACATGGCACCATGATGTTAACCATTACATCACATGACATCATCTGACACGACAAAGTCACGTGACACTTTGCTTCTCGTGGCAGGGGTCACGGCACCATGATGACATGGCTACCGTGATGTCAACCATTACATCACACGACATCATGTGACACAATGAAGTCTCATGACACTTTGCTTCTCGCGTCAAACCAACAACTTTGCTTCAGTGCTGACTCTCTCTAGTGGCCTTGCTACAGTGTGACCGTCTCGAACACGAGCAAGCAAGGCCCATGCAAGGATCCCATACGAAGCTTGTGCACCGTACAACATCAACTGAATGTCTACACACAAGAAAGAATGGTGCACCTGGGGTGGCAGGGACCCTAGCAGTGTGGTGGCACTCCAAAACGCCACCCCCAAGGCCATGATGATGCGTCTGCTGTACCGGTCGCCCAGGTAACCAAACACGGGTGCCGCCACCATGTATGTCACCACAAACACTGTCTGGAGAAGCCCGCCCATGGAGTGGCTGAGGCTATAGTGCGTTATCACGCCATCCAGCACCCCTGCAAGAAAGACAAAATGTGATGTCTTTGATCGCCTATCCCCGCTTCACCTTAAAGAAACCCTGAAACTATTTTTTTTAGCTTTGGCCCAGTAATGCTCGGTATAAACCCTTTCCACTCGTAAAGCATAAAGCAAGTATCCACGCTTTGATAGCATCAATGAGCATGACACATTCAATGCCACCGAAAACTGAGTTTGGAAACCAACAAAATCGGAGTGACCTCCTTGCAATAGATAACCTGGTCGGCCAGACTGAGTTATTCATAGTACAATCCCTGCATGAACAGCAAAGTGCAGGAGCTAGAAAGGGATGTGGAAATCTGAATCTACCATATATTGTGGTTTATAGTGCGTGCCTCTGTACAATTCATGAACACTCTAAACTAAGAACTTTTTTCTGTAAAGTCACGTCCAACACTGTCATAGGATGCTTGACTAAATTATGTCCTGTTTATTACCCAAATAAATGACGTACACTGTTATTTCCTCCTTTGCCTCAATGTACGAATGGAAGGGGATCACTTGTGGTGACCAAATAAGCTTTGTACTGTAGACTTTGACTAGTAACACAATCGGGGTGCAAGCACCAGAAAACATTGAATTCAAGCCTAAGATAGTGATTATTATAATGATTATATTTAGTATGGCTATGAAAGCCATGTCACCACAGAAAGGAGTAGACCAGGCATGTGTCTAGTTTGTAGGCTTTAGCCCAGTCTACGCCAAGGTGGAGGAGGTCCGACTGGACAAATGTGCACTAACAGAGGTGCGTCACAAACGAAGCACAAAAAGGCTCGACTACCAAAAGAGGAGAGCTTCGAGTTTGGGACAGGAGAAACACGCTGTCGGCACCGATAGTGAGTGCAACTCAGAAACATGGGGCACCCTCCGGCAGATAAGGTGCACAAACGTCCGCAAGGAGGTCTGAGTAAGGAAACCAAGAAGGAAGAAATCCTCACAGGAAATGGCCTGCAATCAAAGAAACAAAACTACTGGCAGTTGTAAAGGAAATGCAACTTCTATCCTCAAATTGGAGGAAGAAATTTCCTTTGAAAGAGTTAAAACAGAAAGAAAATCATAGCTGGTGACAGGTCTAGAGTTCACGGGAAGCTCCTCCCACCTTTACACATTAGTAGAGTGAACACTGGAGAGGTCTCCTCTCCAGCATTTGCTCTGCTAAGGTGCAAAAAGGTGACGGAGCTTCCCCTGAACTTCTAACCTGTCACTGACCACAGAACTAAACTAGATCTCCATGTCTGCCAGTGATCCCTATGATGAATCACTAGAGAAGCATCCTTTGGCAACAAAGGGTGTGGCACAACGTGATTGGCACATCCCGCATGAGTAGTTGTGGAATCAAAGTATTTGCAAAAGTAGTGCACATGCACAAACAATTGTGGCCAACAGGGTGTATCTTTCACTTTATTAATGAATCCCTTTCAAAAACAACATGCCTCTCGTTGCACGTCTGAGACCGCTGCAAAGTTTTCAAACAGCTGAGAAGGGCACAACACCATTGAAAAATGGAAGTCACAGGAACATGGAAGCGGAAGCTACGCCACCTGCCGTACGGTATTTCCAGATCTTCCTATAGAAAGCACAATTCTGGAGGGGGGCCTTGTTCACACCACCTGTCCTTTTGGCGAGCTCGAAGTGAGGAGTGCAACTCATGGGCACTGTACAGCGCCCCTCTGAATGTCACAGCACGCTAGTTTGCATTCACAACTTGGCAAGCTGCGTCGTCGCAAGTCCGATGTTCCTGCCTAATTCTAACACTGGCACTCACCTCTGCGAAGAAAAAATAATTGTGTGTGTGTGTGTAAGGGGGGGGGGGGGGGGGGTTAGGGGGGTTAACCACATTGACCTCGCTAGAACCAAGCTCGAAATCACTGTACCTTAGAAAAGTTCGAACGCGAAACGTAACAATACTGGTACGCATGCGGTCATTCCTCAGATGCACTAAAAGCTGACATTAACGCGAAGCCGCGGAGGTCGGGCTCACAGACTACCGAGCTGGTTGTTCGGGATTTGAAGCACCACTACCGAAAAACGTGTGCACGCTTGGAATTAGAACCTTTATGTATTACGTTTTGGGCCACAGGAGTAGCGGAACACCTGATAACTGTGCTGGCGCAGTACAGCGATGTTTCACAACGCACGAAGATAGTAAAGGGGAAACAAGCACTTCCCGCTCGCACAACTGCACTACAACTGCACTTCGAGAGCGTCACGACATACACTTTGGCACGGAGACACTGAAAAGGGTCAAACAAAGAGATAGACAGAGGAACTCCGGTTTAACTTACCTGCAATTGTATATCTGTCCATGTAGTTAATGAGGTTAATGTAGAATAGAATCGCCACTGATAGGTAGTCGCGAAACCGATGTGTCCGTACGGGCACGGGACTCGGCGCTGCGGCGTCGGATTCACCGACGGGCGGAACCATCTTGTCGGCTGTTACTAGGCTCCTCTCCTGCAACCGCAACATTCAAGTCTGCCACCAAGGGAGTCTTCGCCTGGTGCTGCGAGCTGTCAGCTCAGGCGCTGTGAACAACGTTCACTGAACATCACAACACATCCCCGCGACGCAACTCAACCACTCTTTTGAAGATGGCATGGCTGATGGCTGCTGGCTGCGGACGGCTTTCCTTGGCTCTTCCGGCTAGCCGGCGCCAACGTTGGTCGGTGTAGAGGGTGTAGCACGGAAACACGTAATCGGAGCTTTCCGGTGGCGCTATGTACAGGAAATATATAAAAAGCCTACAAGCTTTGCAGAAAAAAACTTTACTATGAATTTGTTTGGCAGTGCCGTCCGCGGCGCCGAAAGGAATGTCGGGAACTCGAGGTACAATTGGTACAAGTGCAGTACAACTGGTTGTAGCAGAGGACAGAGGCGTCCCTGGGGGTGGAAGCAATCGGGCGAAGGCAGGTGAGCAACTGCACTTCCCCCAGGGGTTTCCCCAGGAACTGAAATTGGGGGGTGTCTAAATTTTTAGGGGGGAGGGGGCGGGGGCATTGAGAATAGAGGAGTCGTTGTGAATTAAAGGGGTGCCTTCAGAAAAGCAAGGGGGATGTACACCCCCCCCCCCCCCCCCCCCTTCCCCACCAGGGTGTGTGTAGGGAAATCACTGCTTCCCCCTCGCTTTCTTCAGTGTTACATGGTGATGAGGAGCGCGTGCCGCATATCTTATATCTCATCAGCAGGGACAACGGGTCAAGCGTCGTGTTCCGTGACTATTGACTGCAGAGGGTTTTTCTTTCTATTTTTGATGTTGAGCACTGTACAGCATGTCCCCCCCTCTCTCCCCCCCTCTCCAAAAAAAGGAAGAAAATAATTTCTGGCAAATTGCTAGGCAATTATGTTGCATAGGTGAAACATTCTAGCTTCACGAACGCTTAGCAATGCTCAGTTTCCAGACACCTACAGTTGCGGCGCTCTTTATCCAATAGTTTAATGTGTACCATGTACACTTGATAGTTGTTCCTAAAATGAAGCGATACTACCACTAATCACAAGCTGATAAATCCGGCAATCTTCCTGAGCCTTCCATGCTCACAAGCTCCTCTCCCTCGGTGCGCACAGGTGGTTGAGCTCCTCCTCACCAACATTTCTGGTCACTTTACCTCCCCGTTAACCAGTGCTCAAAGTCAACCACCCATGGGTCTCCGTTCTGTTGTGGTCACCTCAGCGGGTGGGTGGCTAGTGGGACATATTTCGACGTTCGGCTGTGTTAGCGTCAGGGGCAGCGCCAGAATTTTTTTTCTGGGGGGGCGCTGCATGAATATACTGAATTCGGGGGGGGGGGGGGGGGGGGGGGGCGGGGGCGGGAGAGGGAGAGGGAGAGGGAGGGAGTCTTGTTTTCGTTGTTTATGTTTACTTTCATACCTCTTTCTGCTGACGAGCAGAAATCTCACCTAAAGTACACTTATGGAATTGTGGAGGGCTTAGCGCTGAATATAGGCATCATCAAATAGAAATTTAGATCGAACGTTTTCATTGGATATAATTGAATCCATATTCTCTCTCTTGTGTACTTAAAATGTCCCTCTTTTGTTTTTTCTGTAATAATTCCCATTGAGTATAATAGGAACCTCATTATTTTTATGGCGTTTTGTCTGTCGCAGTGAATATACAGATTATTTAAAAGACATTGCAAACTCTAAACGAATGTGTCCTTTAAAAAAAAAAATTATCTCGGATGTGCGCAAGTTCGTCAGCGGAAAAACCACGAGGAGGATCGCACTGCGTTTTCAAAACTCAAACTCGTTCGATTCACTTGCCTGGTCCTCTCGACTTCATTTATATGTAGGAAACCCACGAATCTTGACATGACTTATGCGTGACTGAGGTTTCGTGCTTTCTAAAGCCAGATTCTTTGTCCAGAGCTTCACAGCTGCCAAACGTGGATTTCTCATTCGCTTTGGTAGAGAACATTCTACAGGGATATCCAAAAACGGAATTAACTTGGATGCTGTATTCTAGCCAAGGAAATAACCTATACCAGTCAGACTGAAAGCTTACAGCCTTTTTCCTTTACTTTTTCGGTGGGAAAGAGTGCACTATCGGCTGCCGCGGCGACTCTGTCTTATACTTGGAAATGTCCAACTGACCTGAAAGATCATTGTTTCCCTCCGATACGGTGCAAATTCGTCTCGTCTAACGCACGAAGAAGAAAACTCGTCACTTTCACTGTTCCTTGTTCCGACGAAGGATGACGGACGTCGCTAGAAGCGCTCGGAAGGCCATCAGGAAGACTGTACGGCTGGGGATGATCCTTCCGCTGCTGCTTGATCTCCGTCCTGCTTCTTGACGCGCTTGTTAGAAGACGAAAAAAAAAAAATCTGCGGTTTATCTTCTTTGCGATTTTGTGTCTCCTTTGGAGTCTTGAAATCGGGCTCAGCTGCACATGTTCGGTTCAGCAGCATAATTGTTGGGGCACTTTTTTCGTGTCCGTCATCCTAGCTGGTAACATTTGGCACCGAGGCTGAAAACGTAGCAGAGCAAGAATGGCCCTTGGAAATAGATTGTTGTGTTGAGACCCGCAGGGCCAGTTTGGTCCAGGTGATAGTTTATGGCCCCGCCCCTGGGACTCTCTTTGTATCCTTCTGAATACTTTCCTATGATTCTACTGGGGAATCCCAACAGACAAATAGACAAACCGGCGTTGTTTCCAACGGCCTCGCTTAGAGTCCCGCTCACCTCTTTTCCCCTTGCTTTTGGCCTTTCGTGTTTTGAGCAGCATTGCACTCGAGGCTGCCGCAAGGCAAGCGGTGCGTTCCGCGAGCACTATGGCCGCCGTGTCGCCTCCGATAAATCGTGCGGCAATGGCACACACCCAAAAGAGGAAGAACCTTCACATTTCCTACAACAGATTACATTCCCCAGGAAGTGAGCGGAACAATCGAGGGCCCACTTACACCAAGACAATCCAATTGAAGGAAAGAAATTACGTTGGACGGCAGGATGATACCTACAAGGTTGAACTCCTGGATCCCGCAGCCGCGCTATTGAGTGTGGAAGCCAAGGCATTAGTAAAATCCTTCCAGACGAACAGTCGAACCGGCATTGTCTACCAAGCGAGGTGTCTCTCACCTCTTTCCACCTTGCTTTCGACTTTTCCCGTTTAAGCAGTCCTGCACATGGTGCCACCGCAGGGCGGTGTAATCCGCGAGCAACATCAGCGCCGTGCCGCTGCTGAAGGTCAAGCGGCTATGGCACGCACCCAAAAGAGGGAGACGCGTCCGGATTTCGGGAATTCTTCACAAAAAACCAGAAAGCTTATTCTCGACGAAGGGGTCCTGCAGGGCCCGCTTCCACCGAAAGAAGTCAAAGTAAGAAAAGTACGCTAGACAGGAGTGGTATGTCTCTTGTAAAGCTGTTTCTTCTAAAAATAGTGTCGTGCTTCTCTATTCTTATATTTTATTTGCCTGCTTTGGCTTCCAAGGACGGATGGCTGGCTTGAAAGGACGGATGCTCTGCGTCCATTGCTAAAGTGCCCGTAATGTGCGACGTTAGCTTTCCATTTGGGAAACCACGACCTTTGCTTTGCGGACTGAACTCCCCCCCACAGCTTTTTTGGGGGGGCAGGCAGAAATTTAAGGGGGGCGGCTGCCCACCCTAGCCCCCCTGTAGAGCCGCCCCTGGTTAGCGTCTGGCTGACACATTCGAATGCCGTGTCAAGAACACACCCAAGTAATTCATGTTGTACCCATGGGTTTAGTTCTTAACTCTGTCGCTAGGGGCGCGACGGTTGGATCTACTCCCCAAGGGGGTCCGACACCCTTGGGGAGTAGACCCCCTTCCAAATGCGTGGGGAGTCCAAGAAGTCCAAGATCCCCCAAAACCCCCGATTTTAAGTACTGTTGTTAACCAATCAGCAATGAGAACCTTACTCCTCTCCCACCCATCAACCCATCAGTGTCAAGCCTCGTGGCCACACTTTTATCTGGCCTTCACAAAATGCCAAACACCTAACCAAAAAATGTATCACATTAAAAAAGAAAAAGGATATTTTTTTTTTTGTATTGCAGAAGTAAACTATGCATTGCCGAACGCTCAGTCTCCGTCCAAAAGTAGCGATAGCAGTCCGAACTAGATGCCAAAGTTTCAAAACTATGGTATACTCCGTTCAACCCGAATAGAAGCTCCACCTTTAGCTCAAGCTTTCTGCCCGCCGACACAAGTGTGAATGCACAGGCACGCACAAACAAAGCACTGCGGAAGATAATGGATAGCTCAATCAAGTTACAAGTGATTTCCTGAAAATTTCAACGTCAAAATAGGGCCCGTTTCTCCAAATGTCGGTAACTGGCGCCATTCAGATCAATGTGCTCGAGAGCTTCGTCGGCTGCCATTTTTTCATTGAAAATTTAACCGTTAGTTCCGAAACTTTGACATCTTGTTCAGACCGCTAGCACTACATTTGGGTAGACTGAGCGTTTGGTCAAGCAGATTATTTTTGCAGTCAAAAATACCCTCTAAATATTTTCAGGGGATAACCAGAGTAAACTCATGCAGACATATATGAACTCCAATGGCACCAACTAACCGAAAGATTATTTCACCAACCCAGAGTATTTTGATTTCTGTAGAAATGAAATATGTGCAACGCTTTAAGGACACCGGTGATAGCCTCAAGGTTACTAGCTATATTCAGTTGGCAAACCGCCAATAAGACACAGACCCTTCCAATCTCCTCCAATATTCTTCAGCAACCGATTGAAATGCCACGCCTCTTGCATGCTACGACACATCTCCACCACAACAGTCACAGTGCAACCTTAGTCTGTAGAAGAGAGACACTTCAATCAATCGGCAATTAGCACTGGGGATGTTGCTAAAGGGGAGGGGTACTTAGCTCCTGTCAATAAGCATCAACGGGAGCTGGCAAAGTCAACTTACAGCATCCGGTAACATGGGCTGACCTGATAAGTGATAACTTGGGCCGTGGCTCGGAATGTGTGCTCTTCACAACTCTTCCACGAGTCTGCCACTTTGCCAAGATGGCATTATTTGATCCTTGTACACAAGCAGTATAGTTTAATTAGAAATTTAACTCAAATGCGCCACTCAAATGCTAGCTAGAATGTCGAGCTCTAGCTAAGAAAGTGCCCAGATTGGGTTATGGCTGCTGCTGTTGCTGCCAGTTGTGTCACTGTCTGTCAGTACTATGTCTATAACTCAAACAGTGAGCACAGCTTGTGCTGTATACAGCTTGTGAATAAAAGATATGACTTTAATTCTGATATACATCCAACAATACATGAGCTGCTGAGATAATCCACTGGTCCACATCACAGTTCTGAAGGGTGCTTTGGTTTGGTGGGGATGGCCGATCAGCTGGAACCCAACAACATCAACATTGCTCCGCAAGAAGCTTAAGAAAAATAGAGTCGTCACGATCTGGATGCAGTTACAGGGACACAATACAAGTTTTGTCCTCATCATTATCATCGTCAACACAAGCTGCACAGCGCAGCACAACAGTTGGTAACTAGGACGAGACATAAAAAAGAAGAAAACGCCTTTGACACTTGCACCCAAACTGTGGGGAAGTAGACTCCTAGCGCAGAAGTTCACCGGTTGACAGAAACCGATGACCACACGTTCTTCCAGCAGATCACAGAAACTTGCGATCCCGTATCACAAACAAAGAGCCTCGCTGTGCCAGTCCTAGCAACAAATGCATTGCGGTAGTTTCTGAACCATTTCCGTTGTTCAATAAAAACAATGCGCTCACCAACGAGACAATTCGCATCCACTCCCTGTCGTACAAAAATGTCCTCGGGTTCCCCGGTGTAATAAGCTCGTATGTCAGAGTTTCCATAAAAAGCTTAATTGGATATCGCTCGTAGATCGTGAGACCAAGGTTAGAGTATAGAAAAATGATGCGCGACAAAACATATGTTATGTGCAACGGAAAGGTACTTAGAAAGCATTCTAAAACGAAATGCTAATGTAATTTTTTACACAAGGTTGTTGAAGCAAGTAGTTTAATGCAACAGTGTTGGACAGCACAACCTACAAGAATCAAGCGCAACTAAACATAAACAATTATATATACAATCCTTCGTACCATGCAGACTCCTCCAATTCAGTGGTCGAGACAAACGACAATGCAAACAGATACAATGAGAAGCGGAGATTAATTAAAGATGCGTCCTACGATGAAAGAGCCGAGGCATCTACCTGAGCTTCAAACCAAACCCAGTTGTTACCACCGACGCTTCCATGCACAAAGATCCTGCTCACGATGACAATGCATGCACGCACTCACAAATCCATTCAAGAAAACTGTAAAACTAACAATAAATTAAACTTTCTCTCTCTATATGTAAGGGATGAAATCGTCCTGCATCGTCGTATGGAAGCAACAACGGGATGAAGAAAAGATGCCACACCAGAAATGCACGACGTCACAGCCGACGTTCACGAGACGAGACTCTAAAACAACAACACCCACTTTCTGAGCCAAGTGACCGTTGTTTCGGATGTCGCAACGCTATGTACAAAATGTCGTGACCGGAGGCAAATGCCCTCCCTGGACTTCACGTACACAACCTGCATGTTGGCTACAGGCCTTAAACCTTTTCCAATCTCAATTCACAACGGCGAGTCTGCATCTGTCGAAAAGCCGGCGGCCTTCAGATAAGACGACGGGCTTGAAACGTGTCAAACGACTGCCGCGGCAGAAGGACAACGACGAAGTCTGGCTCCGCAAAGCTCCGCCCGAACCCCGCATGCGTTACGCAAGAGCCGCGTAAAAGTGAACACGGCCGCGAGGGCCAAACACACTAACACTCCGCCCACACAGCCAGTGCCAAGCACAAAGGACGGCACGGCGCGGGTCACCGTTGCGCGAAGTTCCCTCTACGTTTTGTACACCTCGAAAATGCCACGTTTGGAACATCACAGCCTCAATAACACTCAATGATTTGTACTCTTCGTCATTTGTGACAGTTTCATCACTGTGAAGGACTGGTCCAAAACAAAACGAGAAAAAAAAAAATAAAAGATGCAGTCAAGGAGAGAGCTACTTCCGGCAATTCGCCGAAGTCCAAACAAAACATACCCGGATTCGGATGGCACGAGGGGCGAGCCGATGCGAATTTTCACACGTTCCCGGGTCGAACGACTTGAAGGAGGGCTCCGATTGCGGAAGCGGAGATGCAAGAGGTAGAAAATCGCACTTCCCGCAGCGGAACCGGGTGTGGAAAAGTATGACGCCCGACACTACATCACAGTTACAGATACCGATCCCGGAGCGGCGGCACTCTAGACAAATCGATTGCACTCTATGCGACGAAAGGCCTCTGCCGCAATTCGAGTCGTGTTGACCTCCGTCAGGTTTCCTCTCCCCCACTCACTCCGGGAAAGTTCCCGCTTTGCGGAACCCATTTAAAAGCGCACCGCAAAAGTGGGCGTCTCTGCAATACGGAGCTTCTCGTTCACCCAGCGTCCGAGTGCTGCTCCCTCTCCTCGGAGGCCGTCCCCTCCTTCGGAGGCGGGGCCTCCCCGTGCGGGGAGGCGGGGCCTCCGTCGGGCGAGGGTCAGTGGGAGGTGCGTCCGTTTTTGGGACCGCTCTGTCCCCCCGGCGGACCCTTGCACTTGAAGCTGCGCTGCTTGGAGAGCTGAGAGGCCGAGCGGGCGCGGTCGGGCGGGGCCCCACCCCCTGCCCCGCCCCCGTCCGAGCAGGCGCCGCCCCCTCCGTCCTTGTCTGTCGGAGAGCCCAGGGTCAGGCTGGACATGGAGGAGGACAGGTTCATGGCCGAGGCCACCGACAGAGAGCTCGGGTACTGGCTCAACTCCCCCTCGTCTGCCGGCAGGCAGGTCTCCACCATGGCCTCCAGGCAGTTGACAAACAGCTCCGCATTGTCCAGGTTCGTCTGGCACTGCACACAGTGACAACTGTTACGACCCAAACTAAACTCCTGTGAGTTTGCTTTGAGTATGCTAAGTATGAAGTCAACATGCCCCTTGCTTTGTTTCCCCCTTACAATTAAGTATGGTGAAGGCGCCAGGTCCAATCACGGGCCACTTAAGAAACACATCGAAAATGCTCCGACGTGCGTATCGGTGCTCGCAGTGGGGAGTGAAAAGGCATAAGGTGCACAAACACGCGTGGCATGAATGTTGAACGGCTAAGGCTACGATGCATTGGAGTAGAATGCTGTCAAACGCACTTGCGAAAAAATACCTCGATAATTGCTGCGACTGAGCAAACAATAGTGTGCAACTAGATTTTTCCAAGTTCGTTCCAATGCCGAGGTTTAGCTGCGTTCATTTTTCTTTTTACAGTTGAACCTCGATTTAACAAAGTCACCGGGATTCGCTAATTATTTCGTTAAATCAGGAACTTCGTAAAATAGAAGAAGGAATACCTCGCACATAGGCTGCGCGGGAAATCCGGATTTATTTGTTAAATCGGGAAATTCATAAAATCGACGTTGAACTGTAATCGGCTTTAAGAACTCAAGAAACTTTTGGCCAATTAGGATGCTCATTTTTTATTTTAAATTGGATTAAACCTGTTAAACCGTCAGGTGGTGCAGGTAGAGAGAAACAGTTTATTTCTTTTTTTTTTAGCTCTCACTTAGAAATTGAGTAATTGAGTGTGAAACTAGCTAACCACTTTATGTGCCTTGCTGCTGAAAACTTTTCCAGGAGGAAAAGATGCATGCGCTCAATTTTTTTGTTTTTAAAATGTGCTTTAAAAAAAATATTTTTGTTTAATTAATTTTACAGGGTGTTTTCGAGCATTACTTGGGAGCAAAATATATTTCTTTTTTTGTAAATAAACCAATGAATGGAGTGCACTCAAGCTTTTCACAAAGGTATCTCTAGGAAGTGCATTTATCGTACTCAAATATTATGAGCGCGGGTTTGAGGAAAAGGGTGAAAACCGTCTAGCTGACGCTGCTAATCACACATGCTCAAATCTACCAGATACCTAGACACATCAAATTTAAGTAGGATAAGTGCACCACCAAACGACACCTCCGTGAAAAGTTTGACCCAGTTCATCGGTCTACTTATACACTTTTTTTTTATGCCACTTAAACACCCTGTACAAAGTGGTCCCAACCCCTTGAACTTTCTGAAACTTCAAACACATATTTATGAAAGTCAATTAAAAATCTTGAGATTCTCTTTAAACCTTCCAGTGGCATGAAAAGCATAGTTCCAGCAGTCTGCAAAAGTGAGACAGAGAGCTTGGACTTTCAAAAGGAAGTCCTTCCACACATACACAACAGAAAAGCTTCAGAGAGGTACGAGCTCATATTCGCAGCTTTCAAAACAATTAAAGTGGAACTTCAGCTCATATATGACGGCACCATGCTCACATAGAACACTTAGTAAATAGCTGCGACCTCCGCAGATTTTTTTTTTTTCTAATTCCATGATAAAGCATTATGATTGACTGCCGTAATAGAAAGCCCCCACAATCTGTCAAAGCAGATAATCTACCACAGGACATTGCCTTACTTGCATGCTTGCTCAAGCTCACCTTGGAGAAGGGACCAGCAAACCTCCAAAGTCCTCCAAATCCACAAGCTGCCATGCGAGAAAACAATATTACGGTCAGTGCACAGGCGAGCTGGTCTAAGCAAATTAAAGGTGTCACTGTGTGTGTGTGTGTGTCTCAGTTCAAAAGCATTGTATATTTTTTGTGACCTCTAGCTGTCTAGGATTTTGTCTAGACCAAAAGGTGGTTGTGCTTTGTAGGTGGCCTCACTTAGTTTGCTTTGTGATGTGGGTTAGGGTTGTGCACACAACCTTGAAAAACAAGATGTTCGGTGGTTTTGTGGCAGTTGTAGCTCTGTATATAAGGAGGTTGGTTGAACAAAATTATTAGCGCTGAGTTAGAGATGCTGTCTGTCCCTGTTATTTTCTCTTCCACTGTAAAAAAAAAAATCCCTCCTTTTATTTTAGTTTTGGGTTTAAATCATCATGGTAAATGCAAGAAAAACATGGAAAAACATGGCTCATCACAAAAGCATTAAAAATGCAGAAACCGAGCGCTGAATTTCCTCATTCGATTGCAGAGAATCAAGCTTGCCGAGCGACCAGAGCAAGGTCTTCAACGGGCAATGAACACTTTATCGGTGATTTTAAGCAGTAATGACCGTACCACCAAACGTAAATCTCGAGAGATCTCAACCCCAAAGCCACAGGACCCCACGTGGGATTAAGATTTCGGTCAGATGCTCACTCTGCAGATAGTGCAGCTGCTGTTGGCTGCTGTCCTCGCAAGCAATCATGTTCTGGATGATGCACTGGACCGCACTCAGGATGATGTGGTCGTGGTTCTGGGAAAGCACTGTCGTGATCTTGGCGTCCAGCAAGCTGTGACTGAGGGTACAAAAGAAAAAGGAAAAGCAAGCGAGTCACAAAGTGCTCGTTGTTATGAGATTAGGTTTAATTTCAAAACAATGCAATCCGGAGGCTTACAAGACAGGTCCACAGTAAGTAGATTTAGTTGTGTTACAGACACAATGCATGCCTTTATTAATCATAGTAATGAGACCTAAAATTGTAATAAGAACTGTCATTTTGTTATAGTCCCAACTGTATGCCTGTATACCGTATTTACACAAATGTAGGTCGACCCTTTTTTCAATTTTTAAAAATCTGAAGTGGGGGGGTCGACTTATAATCGAACCAAAGCATTCCACCGCCGGTAAAAACGAAACCATCGCGATATCATGGACACCTCGGCTTGTTACAAGCTCAGCCGGCTGTACCCCGAGCATTACACTGTTTTGTGCGCTCAATTTACAAATTAATTATTTTTTATTTGCGCGAACGAGTGTTATTGGTAGCGATTTGCAAAATAACCCGAATGCACGGCGGTGAACAGAGCACGGAGCGCCCGACTCCCGGGGGGTGACGGCACTTCTCGTAAGAGCCACTCCAGAGGTCGCTGGAACAGTTGCAGTTTTTCGCGTGATTCACGGTCGCACATTGTTTGATCGAGTACGAGATTATGCCGGTGCGCTAACTATGTTCATTTGTATTGAAACGCGTGATCCAGGCAGTTTAGGTTTTCGGTGCTTGTTTATGGCCGTTCTTCACTCAGAAGCAACCAACAACTGCGCTGTTGGACGCAAGTTCGACCCGTCAGAGCGGGTGATGCTCCAGTGTAGTCTGCGGTGGCGCGGAGTCTGAAAGTGTGACGGCAAACGAAGAAGCTTCCGCAGGCCAAAGTCTGGATAGGTGGGGATGCCTTCCGGAGTTGGAGGTCAAGCTTGCAACGTACGCCGCAAACGTGCGCAATCGGTCCCTACCCGTGACGTCCAACGCGATCGCCGAGCAAGCGCAGAAGATGCGGTTGATCCTGTCATTTGCGAAGTGCGAGATTTCATTGGACGACGCCGACGACGTGCTTCGAGAACGCAGCAGTGATGACGACGGGACTGACATTACCAGTGCGGACGAGTTGTAGTCTAGTCGCGGATGGAGTGGGAACGACAGTGAGCAGCTTCAGTTGTCCCGCCTCCAGCGTGAACTTCCTAGTTCCGATAACACCTGGCCATCTCATGCACCTCGCACGTGCATGCGCAGCCAAAGCACGTCAGAAGGCATCGATCGCGTGTTGGAGGCTCGGCTTTCGAAACAGATACTTTGCCGTTCACACGTGTTTGCAATAAAATGCGCATCTGAAAAAAAAAAAAATTTTCTTTTTGATGTGCGATGTGGGGGGGTCGACTTACAATCGAGTCGACCTACAATCGTGTAAATACGGTACAAGCTTTGTTTTTACTGTTTTTGTTATGTATTCAACAAAATTTCGGAATTGCATTTAGAGCCTCCCTTGTGTAATACCCGGAAACAGGTCCTCAAGATATATAAATAAATACACATAAAGCAATTTTATAGGACAGACAAAAGGCAATCTCAGTGAGAGAACACACATGCCACTCAAACACTCAGAGATGCCACAAACACGAGCCCCACTTTCAACATGATGTGTTCAAGACCCTTCCACGAAGCCTGGAGCCTCCCTACATTACCAAACTAACTGTGTTTGTATAATGCCCAACAGAACCACGAATCAGAGACTTCCAGCTAACAGCCAGCGTGTGGCAACATTTGTTCGCATCTCATAGGGGTCATCCCAGCAAATACACATTTACCGTTTTGAAAGAGGAGAACCGAGTCGTCTCGACTCGAGAGCAAAGTCGAGGGCATCTCTTACATGACGGGAAACACCTTGGGGAAGACCACGGAGGCCTCGGCCAGGTACTCGTACAGGATACGGGTCTCGTTCTCGTCCGTGGCAAAGCGCACCAGTGTCGCCTGCAAGCAGTAAGGATGGAAGAACAAACTGCCGCCAACTGAAGAGAATGTTGAAACAGATGTCAGCTCAGTGAGAACAGGGTTTTTTTGTGAGTTTACAGTGAACTATGGTTACCAACAGCTCAAGGCCCACAAGATAGGGCAAATCCCGCGCATCTCATTACAGCTTTGCAACTGATAAGACTGCGGCATTAGCAGACAAGAACGCCAAAAAACAAATCACGAAGCAAGAGGCGGGAACACATAGAAAAATTAGAACAAAAAATCTGTCCAAAAAAAACCTTAAAAAAAACTTTTTTTTTCTTTTCATTTTGGTGTTTTTTTTTAAGAAACGCAGGGCTTAGGCCAGTCCCACTACGAAAACAAGCACCCGCACAGCGCTTGCAAAGGCACATACTTGCAGCAGTTGTTGGCTGGAAACTACTTCGGTTGAGGAGACCTTCCTCTAAACACCTCGGTAAGTGCAATACGATTTGTACTCATAAAAATAGACAAGCTCGACGAAATACACTCGTTGAGCACTCCGCAAATGCTGGCAGTCGTGTTTGTTATCGTTTCAAAGAAGGCGTAAAAGGCAATATCAGGATATCTTTGAAAACAATAATGACTTTCTAGATTACTTGTTTCTCAAACATACCGTAATATCCCGAGTCATCGCCCATCCCCGAGCCATCGCCCACCCCGCTTTTTGGGCCAATATCGATTTCCGAAAAAACACCGAGTCATCGCCCACCCCTTCAAATACCCCAGCGCGGACCCTGCGATCCGCAAACGCTCATCCTACCCGAATGACGCGGCCGCGGACCTTACAGTTGGAGGACGTCCGTGACAAAGTGAAACGAAGGAGGGAAAGACACTTCCTTTTGTTTACGCATTTCCTCCGTGAGCGACCCCAAAGTGGTCGTGTATCCGTGCGAAAAAAAAACGATGGAGATAACAAAATAAGAGTTTGTTAATGTAACCGCGGAGTGTTAGGTCAAAGTCCGTCTCCGCCGAAGTAAGGTCACCGCGAACCCGCTCCTTCTTCCCGCCCGTGGCGACCGCGGTTGTGCAATATTTTAGGCAAAGCCAACGCGTAAATAAAGCTTTGCTGGAACGCCCTACACAAGACGTTTGCAGAGCGTCCCAACCGTGCATTGATAGCCCGCCGTGCACGAACGCACGTATGTACAGACCAAACAAGAAAGTTGCGCAAGAGCTTGCAATTGACAAGGCGCCCGATTTGGCCCGACGCCAAAGTATTTGCCAACGCGACCGCCGGCTTTCCCGCTTTCCCAGCATTGCTCTTGGTCGCTTCTTTGGTCCGCTCGCTCGCTCGCTCCCTCGTTGCGCCTGGTCGGTTTTTCTATTTTCTTGTAGACTTTTCTTTCTTTTTTTTACTAACTAGGAGAACATAGTGGTGACATTCTTTCACGGAACAAACGTTCGCGCTATATGCAGATCGGCGGTGTTTCTAGCGCGTATGCAAGCAACGGACTTCGCTATAGTAAAATATTCTTTCGTAAGCATTTTTTTCTATAAAACAATGAAACTAAATCGAGTTTTGAGTTTGATGTATCGCATGTGCATCAGCGCTAGATACGCAAAGAAAAATAGGCGGTTTTTTCCGCTTTTTTTCAAGTGTTTGTGCTCACCCACCGAGACATGGCCCACCCCACTTTTTTAATGAATTTCAGGCGGTAGGGGGGGGTGGGCGATGACTCAGGATATTACGGTAAATAAATTATTGATCCAAATACTATTACAAGCAAGACGTTGTCTTCGTTGGAGACACAATTTTACAACCAACACTCCGACCGTCAATCATCTCTTTGGCCAATCAGAGATGTAAGCACTGTGCAAGCACAAGGTGGGGCTCAGCGGACTGCAGCCTCCACCTTCTACACCTAAATTGCATAAAACAGGATAAATATTACTAAAAAAAAAAAAAAGTTTTTTGCACAGAACTTTTTTATTTATGTTTTATTTAGGCTTTTCAGAAAAAATTAATTTTTTTCATTTCAGTGTTTTTTTAAGCTGAATTTAGGACACAGTTCTCAACTGCCCAGACATAGCAGCCAGAGAGTGGCAAGTTTCAACACGTTCCCAACGGCAGAAGGTGGCGACAAGACCGTGCTTTGAAACATAAAACTCTCATACACACGGCCATCGCTTCCGCTATGCCCGTGCTGGATAGGGAGAACCAAGGCACCCCTTCAATCGTACCACAAATGGAACAAGTTTTGCGATACGTGCATTGGAAGGAAGCGACGGAAGAAGACGCGAGCGCCACGTACCAGCACGGTGAGCACTAGCGCCTGGGTGGGAAAGTCCGTGAGCACCTCGGGGTCCAGCAAGACGTTGTCTTCGTTGGAGACAGAGACCCGCGAGGAGCGTGGCGCCAGCGCCAGCTCTTCGTCCTCCTCTGCGGCACCCGCCGGCACCCCAGGCGGCGCCTTTTGGGAGCGGGGCGTGGGCATGGAGCTGCTGCGCTGTGTGCGGAACAGGGGGCGGCCCCCCGCTGAGGCGGGGGCCGAGGAGGAGGCCGAGGCCCCGCCCCCTTGGAGCCCCGCCCCCGCCACGCCCCCCGAGCCACCCTCCGTCGTGTCCAGGCTGCGCCAGAACTTGGGGTCCTTGCCCGCATTCTGTGTCGGCGCGTCGAGGGAAAGCGGGCGCTGTAGCGACAGCGCCCGGGGACGCGGGGTCAGTTTGGGACTGGCTCAAAATGATTCGGCACATGTTGAGACGTGCTATACGACTCGCATTAGAGCGCTTAAGTTTCCTTAAAGGAGACGAATTACCGAGCAAAATTTTGGCGTACGAGCCAAAAACTAAAAGACGCACGGCTTATGTGCCTTACATCTGTTCGCATATTTTGCACACTTTATTTCTTTTATGCACACATTTTAGAGCTAATATGTAATGAATACTCTAATGAAATTACACCACGTGGGACAAAACGGAGTCCATCTTTTTTGTGAACAAAGACCAAGTAGCATTTATTACAATTTGGTTGACCTCCTGCAAAGGAGTTCTCTCTTTACACATGTTGCCAACCAGAATAAGAAAAAGTGTTGACTTTGGGAGTTTGTACAACATGCAAAAAACGAGCAGAAATTGTTGGTCATACAGTGCAGTTTCGCAAATAATGCTACGACTGCAAACGTGAGCAAAGATCGTTTAAAAAATTAATTGAAGTCACGCCGAGAAAAAAAAAAATACTTCTCTCCCCGAGTGGCACATTTACACTTTTCATGCAACCACGGCAAAAGAGCAAATAGAGCCAAGCAGTGGATTTTTCCCAAGATCAGACTAGTTCAATACTATAATCAAGCAGCGAGCGCAGCGCCATCGCCAAACATTGCGATACTCTAGACCAGGGGTGGCCAGGCTGGCCCGGCCTAAGAGCCACAAACAAAACCACGAAACTTCCAAGGGCCGGGGGGGGGGGGGGGGGGGGGGGGGGGGGGGGGAAGGGGGGGGGGGGGGGGACAAACTTTTGTCCAAAGCAATAAACGAAACTCAAAATACTTTCAATCTATCCGAGTTAAAAGCAGTCCAACTGTATGTAAGGTAGCAGTAGCACAGGACTATTAATTTCTCTTTTTTGGGGAAGTGCTCGTGTCACTGGGAGGGAGGCGGGGGAGTGGGGGTAGGGGCGGGGGGGTAGGAAAGGAAGCCGCAAGCAGCACTTTAACACGCGAAGAGTCACATGCAGCTCGCGAGCCACAGTTTGGCCCCCCCGGCCCTAGACCATCGCAGTGACTTCACGAACACGCACGTGGTGGAGCCCAATTCCCGAAGACTTTTCTTGGAATCGTGGCAAATCCAGCATACGCCAGGAAACTTAAACAGGCCCCTGGGCGCATTGCCCTGTTTACATACATGGTCTTCACGACGTGACGAAAAAGCTGAAGAGATGATCGTCTCTATAACTAAAAAAATTATTTTACAATTTTTTAATTTCCTATTTTTTTCTTTTTTTAGTTTCTTTTTCTTTTTCTTTCTTTTCTGAAGACAAAGAGGTTAGGGTCCGCGCACTTTCAGTCACCCTTAAAGAAAAAACCGAGTTGGTTTCAAAAAGTCGGGTTTTCTATCGAGTTTTGGTAGGAGCCACATTTTCGGATCTTGAAATCGAGCAGTTTGGTATTCTTTGAACAGAGAATGCACAACTGAACCAAACCCATGGCAGAAATATTCCTCGTCATTTGAGAATGTTTGCAATAGGTACTCAGAACACCAAAAGATGTTCACACTTGTTTGTCTGAAAGATGCTTAGTTAGGGTTTACAAGCAGTGAGGCTATGGCGAACACAGTAGCACTGAAACCCTTCACCACAGGCGAACTGACCATGTGGGAAACCCTATGTGGAGCGCAAGTTTGTCTGCTTTTTTTGCAGGGTTTGTAGTGATGTCAGAACGTCGAGCTCCGATTGGCTCTGATTGAAGGACAGTGGGTAGATCTCAAGGCAGCTTGTTTTGAGGTCTACCTACCATCCTTCAATTGGAGGATTGCCCTGCAAAAGAAGCGGACAAACTTGCACTCTACACTTACACCCGGCTGCAAGCCGGCTCCCACATGGTACGTAGTCAAGCAGAAGGGACCGGGTCGGCCCGTCTACTATGTGTTTGACCCCAAAAATGAACACATAAATGCATGGAACAACCGAGGAGTGGAGTTCCGCTCGGTTTTCAAACATTCAATAAACGCAAGGCCGGCTATGTCTATAGATAACGTATGGGTTAACACAGCAGCGATACAATCGTCCCACACGGTTCGCAAAGAGCCAGGCCTGATCCACAGGCCAACACACGTCATACACGTGGCGTCGGCCATCCAAACGCCATACCTGCGCGACCTTGCACTTGCCCAAGTGCAAGGTCACGCAGTTTCTCCCAGCCACTGCCAAAGGGCACCGAAGTGCCCCCTATTGGTTAGAAGGGCAAACAGAGGTCAAGAGGCAATCTCACTCTCCCGAATCGCCCCGCAAGCACGAAGTCAAGGGTTCTGGTGCCTCGAGAAATCACGGGGCACCGCAGCCCTTATCTCAAGAAAAAAAGTAGGGGTGTGCGAATACCGAATAGTAGTTTTCGAATCGAATACCGAATCGAATCAAGAAAAAAAAGCCGAATATTGAATCGAATATCGAATAGCGATTTTATTTGTAGGAATTTTTCAAAGTGTGCTGCGAATGAGATTATTATATGTGCAGAGTATGCACCTGTTGCAGAATATGCATCTTGTGCAAAACAATAACTAAAATGTAAAAAAATTCTGGTGAAAAAAAGAAATTTTAAAAATAAAAGCAGTTGCTGTTGGATGTTGGGCACTAAAGATCCAATTTTATGGCACAAATATAATCTATCTTCCCTAAACGTCACAAAAAAACCAAAGTTACAGCCACGCATGCCTTTTTTAAGCCCAACCTCACACCGCGACTTTTTTTTTTATAAATGTTTGCATATCTCAGAAAAGGGGCATTTTGCGATATTTGGTTTTCATTTTAAGGAAGAAAAAGAGTGCCCGGGATTTTATTTCACGTAAATAACCAGATAGGTGTTAAATCTTAGTAAACAGGCTTAAACAATATAATCTGAAGTAAGAAAAAAAAGCGTTGCTAGGTGGCGCAAGACACCGTCCAACTGCCGCTATGCATCCACTTTTCCGTCTATCCATCCTGTTCTAAAGAGCCTTGATTTAAAAGAGGGAGCAAGCGAAACTGAAACTACGGAGATGGCTCCAGTGCAGATTGGTCGTAAGTGCGCATGTGTTGTGTTGTCGCGAGGAAAAAGGCGAGCCAACAGAAGGGCGACGACGCCTGCCCTGCCTGCCCGATCCCGATCGACGCTTTCGTTTTTTCATCACCTTCTCGCAGTTGGTAATTCAAACGCGGCTATCGAACGGTTGGAAACCCTCTTAAATCTAGGCACACTATTTTTCCGTTCCGTTTCGTTCCAAATCAAAATTTGCGGCTTGAGGTTCCAAAAGAACGACGACGATAACTCGGCTGGTCTATCGGCATGTTTAACGTGGTTTTCTTTCTGTGATCTTGCAGTCGCCGATTTCTGTGAGTGCGGCAAGTGTGTTTTACATCGGTGCTTCAATTTGGAACGAGGGGCTTTACTCGTGAAAAAAATTAGGCATGGCGCGGGACTTCGGCCTCCCAATTCCTCTCTGGAAGCGGCGCAAACGGGATGTTTCGGTTGTGATTCAAGGGTAGGTTGTATCACGATCGTGAGTAAATCTGCGTAATATAAAGTTCGTGGCGTTCGTTACTTTTCTTTTTTCTAACCTGTGCGTTAGATTTTTGTGGAATGGTAGGATCAAGAGCTGTTTTTCGCATGGTTTGTCTAACATCATGGCACTTACATCGGGGGGAAAAACGGCTTTTTTTTTGTCAGCTCCGCGCCGACCGCGCGTCTTTGGCCGAATATATTGAATATTCGAGTGACCGAATACTAGGAATTTGATTCGCGAATCGAATTATTCGAGAACTTTCTATTCGATTCGAATTCGTATATTCGAGTATTCGCACACCCCTAAAAAAAAGGTAAAAACTAAAATACTATAGTTTATTAAAGAAAAGATGACCCTTCTAGCAGCCTCCCCAAACTTTCCAGTAGCTATGTCACACTTTCCCACCACTTCTCTCATTAAGGGAGGAAGTGGGTTCTCAAAACTTTTTTTTTGTTTATTGGCCTATCTCAACGATTTTTGGCACATGCATGCAGTTTATTGTGCTGATTTCATAACTGTTATCAGATTTCAGATATCTCGTTTTTGTTAAAAGTTAATAACAAAATAAAATATTAATTAGCTAATTTCAGGAAAAGTTTTTAATGACCTTCTTATTAAAATTTTAATGAAAAAAAGGTATCAATTGCTTCCTAAAGAAATGTCATACAAGCTAAAGCTATTTTTATTTCTATAGCACCATACAATCACGTAAAAAAATTAAAGTGAACAGAAGACATACAATAGAGGCTATAACAATGGCTAATAATGAACCGCCAGTTCTATGTACCAAAAAATATCATAATAAAAATACTTTAGCTTGCAGTCCAATTCATTCCAAAAAAAATAGTACCAAGTTTATGAAAATCGGTTGAGCGCAAGTGAATCAAAAAGCCTTCCTGGCCGGAGAATATGCTGAAAAAAACAAAATGAGAAAATTAGCGCAAATACAAGGAAGGAAGAACGTTAGGACAGGAAAGAGCGCTACTTACAACTGGCTTTAATTATAAGGTGAAAAAAGAAAAAGAAAACAAAACCCGGAGAGGGGAACAAAGTACTGACAAAAAAGAAGTGATACAGAGAGCGAAAATAATTAAGGTGAAAATACAAATTAAAATAATAAAATAATAAAATAGAATAAAATAAAATAAAGGCAGATCTGCAGAATCGCATCGGCAAATGCGCAGGCAGCAGCACTAGCAGCACACACACGAGACACCGGCAAACCCTTTGCGAGCATGAAGAGGCGAACTGCTGCCGGTGACCATCCCGCAGATCTATTGGTCACACATGAGTCACCTGCAGTAGCCGCACACACACACACACGGGACACCGGCAAATTCTTCCAGCATGAAGTGGCGACACTGTTGCCGGTAACCAAGCAGCAGGACGCAAATATCAGGGGCACGTGTCGAGGTATCTCAGCTCTTTCTCTGAAAGG